GAGTGAAGCAGGGAGAGAGAGGAACGAGGGCAGGAGAAGCAAGGAGACCAAGGGGCCTTGAGGGTGAGGGGGGTGGAGGAGGCTGAAGCAGATGGCAGAGGGGATCGCGATAGCTCGGGAGATGCTGGACGAGTTCAAGAGTGAGATCGTCGGGTGCTACATCATGCCGCAGCTAGGGAAGTACGAGGCAGCTATCTCGGTGCGAGTCAGCTCCCTCCTCTGCTGGGGTTCACCTGGGTTGACAGGTTCTTTCCGAGCTGGGCTACGGCCAGCCAGACTCAGCAAGCCGTCGAGATGCTGCAGCAGCATGAAGGAGGGATGAGAAGGAGAGAGGAAGAGGAGGGAAGAGGAGAGGGAGGAGAGGGAGGAGAGGGAGCAGAAAGTTTGCGGCTTGTCTGGTACTCTGAAACTTTATCGGGCAAGAACGACGTGCATGTTTCCTGCTCAGCTGTCAGTCGACTGCTCTCCCGCAACATTTTCCTGCTTCCTTGCCTCCCCCCCCCCTTCCCCTCCTGCCTCTGCTCACTGTGAATCATCCCTTCCGCTCTGCCAACGTACGCCGACCAGAGCATCGTGATCCCCTTCTCCCAGTCCTCCATCCACCTGCCCGTTTCTCAGCTGGTCAAATTGACTCTCCCAGCTGACCTCCTGGTGTCGAAGAGGCTCGAGTTCCACCTCTCGTGCCGCAGTCTGTGCCGGATCTCGAGCAGTTTGCGGGGATTCCTGGGGATGAAGAGGAGGAGGAGGAGGAGGAGGAGGAGGAGGAGGAGGAGGAGGAGGAGGAGGAGGAGGAGGATGAAGAGGATATTGGAGGTCAGTCACATCCGCTGAGCTCGTTCTCCAGCACAAGCACAGCACCAGCTACAGTGATTCCTGTCTCTCCACATGTTCAACATCTCTATTCTCACATCACCACACCCACTTCCTGCCTGTCTGCTCCTCTTCCTCTCCTCCCTCTCCTCCTCACCTTCCTAGCGCAACTGCGAGATTTTCGTACTCGTCCAGAGTCCGGCCAATCATTTCCTCTGAAGCAGGTTGAGCAAGATAGGATGCGTGAGAAGGCATTCCAGTTGGCATAAATGTGATGGGAGAGGGGAAGGGGAGGGGAAGAGAGGAGAGGGAGAGGGAGAGGGAGAGGAGGGGAGGGGAGGGAGAGGAAGAGGAGGGGAGGGGAGGGGTGGAGAGGGGAGGGAGGTCAAACAGTGAAGGCACCTAGGCCGATGGTTGAGAGGAGCGAAGCAGATACACGCGATGCCATCCTGCTGCACCTTCAGCTCATCCCCAGCAGCTTCACCCGACTTACCCGAGGAGATGAGTGGGAGAAAGGAGGGGGAGGCCAGCCCAAAGAGCATCCGTTCCTACGAGACCATTCAAGCTCAAAGGTCGAGATATCCTCCTCTTCCATTTCCTCCTCCCATACAAGTGACCCCTTCTCTCCTCTCCTCCTCCTCCTCCTCCTCCCCACCAGTGCTGTGTGCTCCATAAATGTCCGTGTCAAGGAAGATATCTGCAAGGCCCGCGCGCTTGACATGTTCCTCCTTAGCTGCAGTTCCAGTAAAGATAATCCTCTGCAAGCGCAGGGCCGGTCAAGGAGCAGCAGTAGAAAGGAAGGGATTGAAATTACCTCCTCGTAGTCTCCGGCCTCCCTCCACCACTGCATCACCTTCTCTTCGGCCACCTGCTCCTCATTACTCTAGTCTCATCCTCCCATCTACCCTCCCTTCACCCGCTTCTGACTTGCTCCAATTCCCTCTCCCCTCCCCTTCCCTCCCCACCTCTCCTCTCCTCTCCTCTCCTCTCCTCTCCTCTCCTCTCCCTGTCTCCCTGACTCCACCTCGACGGCACCTGTGGGGCTCGGAGGAGCCAGATGACAGAGTTGGGTACTCTATCAAGAATTCGTTTCCATCGCTTCAAGATTCGTGGTCTTAGCTTGATCAGCGTGTTGAAACAAGCATACACCTGCCAAAATTATGATGTCGGGGAGAGGAGAGTGATGGTGGTGGTGGTGGTGATGATGATGATGATGATGATATGTTGGTGGTAGTGGTCGTGGTGGTGGTGGTGATGATGACGAGAAAGTGGTCGTGGTTGCGATGATCATGTTGGTGGGAGAAGCGGCAAAACAGTCGACAAGAAGTGGACACAGGTTCAAATCATCATCGTCATCGTCGTCATCGTCATCAGCGTCATCATCACCCAAAACAAGACCAACAAAACAAGCAGCCACAGCAAGAGCAGGAGTAACAACAAACACATCACTGACCACTTTCTTGTTCGGCAGATCCCAATCATCCCTCTGTACTCCCACAAAGACCGCTGTCTCCATTTCCAGCCTCCTGTACGCCTTGACCTCTCCGTCCTGCTGCACCTTCGAGTGCAAGGGGTCGGTCTTGAGAAGCTCGTTCCTCTCCTCGCTCGGTCTGTATCGGGGATGCAGCAGGTGCGGGTAAGAGTTCTTGAGAGAGTTCATAAGGTAGCTGTTGGGCATGAGAACCAAATGCTCTGTGTAGCCCTCAACAGCCTCGGGAGGAGAGGATATCCTGAGTGACTGGTGAGAACCAGCCCACACCTGCTCTCGCCTCCCCCCCCCCTGTCCCCTCCTCTCGCTCCCTCCTGTCTCCTCCACCTCTCTCCACTGCGCACCACCTTGTTTCTCTGCCCTGCCCTGCCCTGCCCTGCCCTGCCTCCCCACTCCCCTCTTTCTCTGATTCATTCATATTAACCATCTTCCTCCTGCTCTCTCCATCTCCTCTCCTCTCTCCACCTGTCTGTGATCATGTGACCAACGTACGTCGCTCCCAGAGTTCCCGGGTAGCCGATGCCATGCACCTGCAATAAGTTCGTTTCTTTCGCAAGAGGACGATGAAGAGTCCGGAAAGGAGGACAGGGCGGGGGCGGGGGCGGGGGCGGGCGGAAGGGGTAGGAGAGTGTAAGGAAGAGGGAGAGGTGGGAGGTTGAAGTGAGGAGAGTGGATGGACATGGAGGAGACAGCAAGGGGAGGAGCAGAGATGAGCGGAGGATGAGGAAGACGGGAGGAGGATGGGTTGATGGGTAAGTAGGACCTGGATGGGCGCAGGGCGGAGAGCGTACATTTCCAACCTCCCCCCATTGGTGTATCCGTTCAGGTTGATCAGAATGTGCGGCTGTTGGAGCTGATGAGAAACACGATGGTGGAGAGGAAAGCGCAAGAGATGGGGATGGGGAGCGAGAGAGATGAAGGAAAAGGAGGAGAGAGGAAGGGGTAAGAGAGAGGAAGGAGGAGGAGAGGGAAGAATGATGAGATTGGATCAGGGGAGAAATGCTCTACCTTGTGTCTGTTGACTTCCTGTGAACGCGTGAGAAGGGAAAGGAAGGAAAGGATGTGGCAGAACAAGAAATTAAAACAAGTGAGACAAGGAGAATGGAGGAAGAGATACAGTGATAGCAAAACAAGTGAGACAAGGAGTATGGAGAGAGAGATACAGTGTTAGCAAGGAGGTAGGCATGATAGGACAATGTGAGGAGAAGTTTGATGGGAAGGAGCAAAGGATGAAGCTCAAAGATGTGACCTCTGCAGCAGCTACAAGCGACTTTGACAGCGCGGGGGTCAAGTCGATGAAATGCTGCGCTCCTCGCTCAACCTGTTGCAACCAATCCTCTCAACCCCTTTCCCACCTTTACACCCTCCTGGCAACTAGTCTCCTCCAACCTCCTTGCTCTCTCGTTGCCCTCTTCTCCTCCTCCTCTTCCTCCTCCGCTTTCCTGCCCCTTCCGCGACTCTTGCCTGCAATCGAATCTCCGAGCTATCCGAAGGAGAGAGCGCAAAACAGAAGACCTGTCCTTGGCTCAGAAGCAGAGAGAGATGAGCGATGGGAACAATCATGGCAGGAGGAAGAGGATCCAAAAAAAAGCAAGGGGAGTGAGAAGGAGGAGAGATGAGAGGGTGAAAGGAGGAGGTGAGAGGTGGGGGCAGGGGGGGGGGGGGAAGATGAGTTGAGGAGGAGGGAGGAGCTGACGATGAAAGGGACAAATAAGAGGGAGGGAGACGTTGGCGACTGTATCCTCACCTCGAAGGAAAGTAGATCATGAAGGAGGAACATGGAGAGGACCTGCACAAACAGCGGCATCATTGCAAGAAAGAGAGCCGGAGAACAGGAGGAGAGTTACTAGGTGTGCAACAGGATGCTGTTTCTTCAGATCGGAGGACGTGTATCCCTGCAATTGCTTCAAAAGAAATGGAGGAGAATGAGAGAGAAAGTCACCACTCGAATTCTTCGAGGAGCAGGCGAGGTTGGGGGCATTGGAAACGCAAAATTCTATGATTTACATGTCAAGTGCGAGAGGAATGTCGGAGAGGAGAAAAGAGAATATTGAGTACGAAATCGAGTGAGGGAGCAAGATAGAGAGAAAGTGAGAAGGAATGGTGGGAGGGCGAGAGAGTTCAGATTCGAATGGAGATAGGAGAGGCTGATGTAGATCGATACAAGTAACAACGTAGCGTGCTCAGTGAGAGTGGCATCTTGAAAGATGAAGGGGGGAGGGGAGAGGATGGACAAACAATATGAGTCAACCTTTGGAACCATCATCAAGGCTTCTTTCTCAGCTAAGCTCGACCACGCCTGTGCAAAATCAGATCCCTCATTTCCTTCTGCCCCGTCATCATTTCCTTCTATTGTCCTGCTTTGTTCCTACCCAATTCCACTTCTGCCTCCTCCACCTTCCTTTTCACACTTCCCTATCGCCCCACCCCTACTCTTCCTCTCCTGACCTCGGATAGCCGCCGAACAAAATCAGCAGAGACGGCATAGCTTGTGCCGCAGGTCAAGAGACGGAGTGAGAGTTGAAATTTGCAAACTCACGCCAGAGCATGAAAGGCACGAACTGTTGGAACCCGGCCTTCTTTGAGTTGTCGATTGACAATGGCAACCACCTGAAGAGGTTTGCAGTCATGCAGGGCGAGCACAGACAGAAGGCGGCCAACTTTCTTTAGGTGCGAGTCGACGTTGCTCCAGTCGCAGATCTCGTGCTTGGTATGATACATGTTGCAATACTTGCAGACCATGAGCAACAGCAACAGACAAGAACATTCATCACACCGCTGTCTCATGTCCAGGATGCAATCGGAGGACGATGTCATAGATCTCCATAACCTGGGAAAAACTCTCCACGTGAGATTCTCCTGCACTCCTACCGGCTCGCCTTGCCTCGTGTGTTGCACCCGATGCTCCCACTACTGTTGCAAGATTGTTGTAGTAATCTGCTCTTGTCCCATCTAGCTGTCAGGTGGCAGAGTTAACCCCGTCAAGGGTCGCCCAACGGTTCTTACCTTCACCGCCCACCTGTAGCAATACTCCGACTCCGCGTACCGCTCCTCCCCCATCAGCGAAGTGCCGAGGTTGTAATACGCAAGAGCGTAATCAGGAAACATCTCGATGGTCTTCATGTAGACTTTCAAAGATTCCGCGGTCTCTCCTTTCGCTCCAAGTGCATACGCAAGGTTGAGCAGGAAGCCTTTGTCGGGTTTTAGCTGAACAGCTTGCTTGTAATGTTTCACTGCATTCGTCATGTCGCCGACCGCCTGGTAGTAAGAGGCAAGATTGTTGTGCGTCTCCGGAACGCGAGGATCAATCCTCATTGCCTTCTCATAGCTTGCGATGACAAGGTCATTCTGGTTCAAAGTTCCATGTACCAGCGCCATGTTGTTGAAGATAGCCGCCTTGAACGGAGGGTCCAGCTCCAGTGCTTCCTGATACGCGGCAAGAGATTCCTCATTGCGATCGAGATCTTTCAGCACATTCGCGAGGTTGAAGTGAGCCAGCGGCCATGTCGGCCCGAGCGATACACACTTTCTGAGAGCCACCTCGGCTTCTTCGAGCCGGCCGGCCAACTTGTAAAGTTCCCCAACGTTGAGCCATGGCTCAGGACGACGGCGATCGGCCTCTGCAGCTTTCTTGAAGCATGCCATCGCTTCAGAAGCATCGCTGGCTTCCTTGCGACTTCTCGCGTACTCCATGAGCTCATCATAACCATCTCCTGCATGCTCCGGGCACTCGTTCCTTGCTAGCGCGAGGGTCAGCACAACAGCACAGAGGACAGAGGAGAGGCCGAGAGTCGGTACAGGAACGCCCATATGGTATGAGGAGGACAGCTGTCTATGCCATGGATACTTGCGGCGCCGTCGTCGCCATGACCCACAAAGGGAGCATGAACGCCCGATCCAACTCCTGGAACCTCTATGCAGAGTACCGGGGCCTTTCCCGGCCCGGGGCCTGAGTACCGACCGTACCGGGCCGGGGCCCGGGCCCGGTACCGTGTGACACTGACACCTGGCAACTCCGGGCCCCAGTAGTGAACTCCCAGGAGGTTGTACTCTAAGTTGAATATCAAACTACTTTGATCATTGGAGGGAGAAAGAGTGGAAGTATGCTGCAGTTGCTCAATCACTGCAGTGCCGCATCATGGCAGATGGCCGGGCACCACGCGGCCTCGGAAATATTTCTGACAGTCCGATCTTCGTTGTCGACTGAAGGCAGCAGCATACACTACTGACACTCTTCCGCATGAGGGTCAAGCAAGGAGTTGGATGAGAGGCCTCAGACTAACCGCAGGTGGATCCGCAAGCTACCGGGCCGAGGGCAACCTTAGCTGCGGGCCAGATCGAAAATCATTACTTGTGACCTTCATCAAAGGATCTTAAACGGAAAAGAGAGATCTGACTAAGGCAAGGAACTGATCACTTCCATCTCCTTTCCTCTGCTCGTGATGCATCTCACCAGCTGCACCATGCCATAAACTACCGCCGAGAGGAAGCACAGTCCCGTGAAGGCCGCGATCGAGACCTGTTCTCATGTCAGGACCTCTCCCCATCCAATGCAGACCTCGCCGACCTGTGTGATAATCTGATACTTCACCCACTCTGTGATCGTCAAGGTCTTGCGAACCCACTGACATATCCCGACGTCATCCCTCTCCCTTCCATCTTCTCAAACTACCTTGCCATTCACGCAATACCGGTCGCGGTTACAAGCTTCACTTCCATCGCTACACCTGCGGACGGGATGCATGCTCGTCAGAGGTGACACGAGTCAAGAGGCAGTGCGAGACGACAACTCACGCTTGGCATTTGTTGTCCACGCAGGAGCCTCTCCAATCGATGGCGCTCGAACGGATGCTGAAGCTATTTCGATGTCATGTCAATGAGCGCTAGCAGGAGGTATTTGCAGCTATCACCCCAATGAGCGGAATGATAGGAAGGTAGGCGTAGGGTTGGGGTTGTAGTTTTGCTGGTCAACAACGATGTATGCTGCGCAGTACCCCCCTTCGGTATGGTATTGACCTGCCACAGGCTAGTACAAGTCGTGGTTATGACATCTGACCCAACTGACTCTCGATTTACCGGAAAGCACAGCGATGCCGTCTGATAGGATCCATTCGTCATGAGGTTCAAACCTAAAGGGCAGCTCCCTCCGCTTCCAAACATTCGTCAGTATACCTCGTCAACCAGCCGCTCCGAGAAGCTTACTTGACAACCTTGCAGGAGTAATCTGTCTCGCTCTCGAAGCGGACAGCCTTGCGCTCAGAACTTGCTGTTGTCCTTCTGATGCAGAAGTCCTTCGGACGTATACACCTGACTCCTGCAAGTCAGAGTTATGTCACCACCAACTCAATGCGACAAGTCATGATGCGCTACCCTACGACTCGGCTGAAGACGTCAGAGGTCAGGTCGTATTCCCTGCTGCATAGTGAGGTCGGTATCTCGCGCTTTTTGCAGATGCTTCGGACGGGCAGGTCCTTGAATGCCTCATAGTCCCTCAAGACTCCGTCTCTGTTCTCCCTGGAGTATGGAGAAGCGTACTCGCTGCCGTAGCTTGAGAGGGTAAAGTCGTGTGCGCAGTACTGGTCCAGATCGCAGTCGCAGTCGCTTTGGCATTGCACACATACCCCAAGGTTCACGTAAGGCAGGGCCTTTCTGTCCGGGAGGTATCTGTCTGTCCAGAATGTCATGCAGATGGGGGAGTTGGGGTCGGTGCAGTCAGCCTGATAAGAGCAATGCTTGTAGACAACGTCGGAGGCGTAAGACGGGGCCGCCTCGAGCAAGAGGAGGACAAGGAGGGGAGGGAGGGCGGAGGGGACCATTCCGGGCCGTGCTTAGCGCTGTTGGGGGCCTTATCCAGCTCTAACGCTCGGCCTATGCCGTACACGCGTTGAGCGGTACCGTACGTTTGTACCAGATCCAGCACATGTAGGCCCGTGCAGTATACTGTTTGTACCCTATCCAGCACTATACTGGCAGGGACCCTGTACCAGATCCAGCACCCTTTACTCAAAGTTAAGTTAAAAAGCGGCCCCGGTAAGTTATTATTATTATTACACAAATAATAAATTCCCAGCTAACTTACCGCCGGGCAGTTGAGCCATGGCTCAGGGCAGTTGCCAAGTTGACTCTGAGCCATGGCGGGCCGCCCGAGACCGGCGGCGGCCCACTTGACCGTACCGTACGGCGACTCTGCCGGAGGCTCTGCAGCTTTGAAAGTTTCTTGTTGTCGCGTACAGTACTCCATCACAGAGTCATGCTTGCTAGCGCGAGGGCCCGGTCAGCACTCGCGGCACAACACTCAGTGACTGTGACACTGTGACTGACTCGCCTCTGGCCAGTGACAGCACTGCACTGTGACAACAGCACAGACCGGGACAGAGGAGAGGCCAAGAGTCAGTAGTACGGCGGTCACCGGGTACTGGCACCGTCGTGTACAGGACCTTCGGAACTTTGGCCCGGAACGCCCATGGCATCATGTAGCCTAGTAGACAGTCACGGGGGACCCGGTTCAACGGTTGCGGCGCCCGGTACGGTCCGATCACACGTCGTCCGATCGCCATGACCCACAAAGGGAGCATGAACGCCCGATCCAAGGCTCCTGGACTCCCGGAACCTCTATGCACTGAGAGTACGGTACTGTACCGGGGCCGCCTTGCCCGGGGCCCGAGAACCGGCCGGGCCGGGGCCGGGCCCCGGGTACACCTGTCAACTCCGGGCCCCAGTAGTGAACTCCCTCTCTCACAGTAAAGGAGGTTGTCCTTTCGCTGAAGAGATATCAGGTGCGGGTGGGACTTGATTGGTTCTTTGGGTTGTACCCTTGGGGTTATTGATACATCGCTTAGCTCTATAAGTAAAATTCCATACCACCTTACCTCACCCTTCAAGCTAAAGGGGTCGCAGGCGGCCGATATGAGATCGAGCTTTACAGGCCTCTGGTCAGCCGCCCAAAAGTGGTCGGTAGAGCAGGCTACATGGCTATCCATGCTGCAATATTTCATAATTGTCACTATAGGAGATTATGAAGTAGGTCGGAAATACTCCTCTACTGGACTCAAATGGTTGCAGCGGCCGTTTTGATCTTCATTTCTCGAAACGCACCCTTTTAGGTTCGAGCGAGATTTCATCGGACTCCGAAACGATGCATAATCCAAAGTTCTAGAAATAGCAAGATGTCAGCAGCATTAATGCACTCTCGTCGAGACCCTCATAGCTCCCTATTTCTCTAAGTAAAATCATATTGAATTCAGGGATAGCTCACCACAAGATGGCTCACTTGTTTACTACCGGAGCATGCTCTCATATTGCTGACGAGGGGGACGTCATCACAGCCCCGATCCTCTGTTTGCTATAAAAGGGCGACTAGAGCCCTTGTATTCCAACAACCTCATCCGCACGTCTGATACCTTCGCTCTCCTCATCGAAACCTTCCTTTCACTTCTGACTTTGCACCCCATCTCCTGCCTGTCTCCCCACTCTCCTTCTCTCCTCTCTCCTACAACACCATTCAATGTCTGCAGTTCTTCATTCCAACGAGTGGCAAATGCCTATTTTGCCAACGAAACAAAGCGCTCCTGTCATGAAGGCAGTCAGCAAAGCCCAGAGTATTGAGGTCATGACAGAAGCACGAAACTTTTTGGCAAACAACAAGTCTTCACTTGTGATTGATGGAGCAAAGCCATACAAGATCATGGCTGCTTCAGACTTATGGCTCCAGATGTTTGGGTTTTCTGATGAGTCCTACATTTTGAGGCGTTCCCTCAATCTGTTGCAAGGGCCCAACACCAACTCTGTGATGTTGAATGCCTTTCTTTCATCCTGCAACCTCAAGACTGAGCAGAACGGGCATTTCAAGCTCTACCTCAGCAATGGGCAGGCCGTAATGATCCACGTCTCTGCAAGAAGGTACCTGATCGAGGAGGTGGAAGTCGTCGTCCTCGAGTTTGAATACTCCAACGCCATCCTACCTCACGAGGCTGAACTGGAGCGTGGCGGACTTCCCATGGCGCTCGTGGAAGTCGCTGCGCCTTTCCGTATCATCCAGACCAACCAAGAGTTCCTCGAGCTCTCTGGATACAACAAGATGCAGGTTTCCGGCCGCGCCTTGTGCATGTTACAGGGACCTGGAAGCAACAGTCAAGAGCTTGCCAGGATGTTCAAGGAGACGGCCAAGGGCACTGAGCAAGAGGGAAAGACCAATGTGTACAACTGCAGTGGATCTCAGATCTCCTGCAACATCCGGCTCTCACCGGTTGCGGCGGCTGACGGGAAAATCTCTCATGTGCTCCTTCAGCTTGTCCAGGAGGTGATCGAGGCTCTCCCTCAGGTGCTGTCCGAGGATCACATCTCGCAGCGCCTGCAGCACAACAAGGCCATGGGCTTCGAGCTCATGCAGGAGGCTAGACGGGGCGGAGCCCAGCGGCTCAACGCGTGCAAATGTCACGTCGCTGTGGTCTGTGATCGGATGAGGGGGAATCGCTGTCCTGCAAGGGCCTTGTACAACATCCAGACTGGCAAGCAGATCCAGGAGAGCATCGCCAGGAGGCGCTCCATCTCTTGCGAGGAACAGTGCGACGTTTCCACTGCTGCTGCTCAAGCTCCTGTTGAGCAAGAAATGCAGTCTTCTTCGCCCGACAAGGCAACTTTCGTGATGTACTTGTGTATGCTCTTGTCCTTCTTGTTCTCGATGGTTTGTCAAGGCAAGAAGTGTAAGAGACAGAGAAGGAACAGCAGTGCCAAGGAAGGAAAGGTCCAAAGGCAATTCAACGCCTGGATTTATCTTGATGAACAAATGTAGGTTCTATATTCAATAAATGTTGATTTCATACAATCCTATTCCCAATCGACGGTCTTATGAGCAATTCATTATGCTTTCAACGAGATGCATTTGATTTGTTTCTATCTGTATCGTGGGCATTTGAAATTCATTGGTCATATTTCACTGTTGCTGCTTAACGTTGCCTAGAAAATCACTCGATGGTGTTGTTCATGCGCAGAATTTACTCCTGTGGCCTACTTCATGTTCCTTCCTAGTGCTTCAGCCCTTTCCTCTCCATCCCAAGAATGCTTTGCAACCTGTCTATTTTCGCACAGGAAGTCTTTCACTCGTCATATCCTGACCACTCTCCCTGTCTTTCTCTCCTCTCCTGCTCTGTTGTCAGGTCACACTACGATGTGCACATCTCTTGTCTTTTGCATAGTTTCTTCTGCAAGGGGAATGATAGATCTCTTTTCTCACTTACTCCTTCAACAATGACAACAACTGTCCTTCATGGCTCTTGCAGTCGTCCCTATCTTTCGCTTGAATTTCATCATCTTTCAGCCCCTCTGACTCTTCTCTATCCCCTACGAAGATTTTAGAGTCATTTTTGTTTATCCCTTCCTTGCTGCAGCATGTTCTTTTGGTTCTGCATCACGTTTCCTACCTGCCGCAACCGTCGTAATAGTCGTTTCAATCTTTGATCCCCGTCTCCTGTCTTGCTATTTTCTGCCTCTTTCAATCATTTGTCTTCTCTTGTCCGCCTCAATTTTCTGCAGACTCTCGCTCCCTTCACCTTCTTTCATCCCTCCTCCCTCCTATTTCCCTGGTCTGTGTAAACAGCACAGTACGTCCACAACCTCATTCCCTTCCTTCCCCGCCCCTGCCCCCCTTCCCGTCTCTCCCAGCTTTCAGTCTGCCATCCTCTTCGGCCTTTCGCTCTCCTCCTCTCCTTCCGCTCGCTTCCGCCTCCATCTTTGCTCAACCGACCGCTGGCCCTAACACACGCCCACCCCTCATCTTCCTGTACCCCCTTGTTTTACCACCCCACCCTCAGAACACGGTAGTGCTCCTCCCTGCAAATCTCAATACCACCCTACCCATGGTCTATGCGACCCACCCCTTGCGCAGTAGTCTAATAGTTTTCAGTTGAGAATTCCCTATGGCGACAGAGGGAGCGGGGTGAGAGAGACGATGCTGGGAGAGGAGGAGCGAGAGGAGCTCCCAGGCTTCACCAGCAGGTGATACTTGTCCTTTTCTTTCATCCTCCTTCTTCCCCGGCACGCTATTGCTGAGATGTTCAACAGGAGGTCTCCCTGGAACGGAAATGTCGACTTCGCAGGGCTGGAGGTGGAGGAGGATGAGGATGTGGATGATGAGGAGGTACTGTTTACAACAGCCAGGGAGGAAGGTGAACAACTCAAGCACTCATGTGCCACCATGACCTCCTTGCAGACGTTGGTGGCATGGGGCAGAAGCAACTGGAAACAATCTCAAAGACCTTGGAGGACGAGAAGCGCAGGCTGGCACAGATGGAGCTGCAGATGCAACAAGAAAGAGCGCGCAAGGAGGGGAAGCAGCAGGAACTTGCGATTGCTACTCAAACGAAGGAACTGGAAGGGATGATGAAAGCTCTCATGACATCGGCGAGGGATGATGTGGAGAAACGTCAACGATGGGAGGACGAGTGGAGAAGAAAGTTTGACGAGTTTCGGCGGCAACACCATGAGATGGAGAGCGCGTTGAAGCACAAGCACTTCGAGGAGCTGAAGAAACTCAAAGAGTCCATGTCGGAAGAGATCAGGAAGATGGCAGATGGAGTAGGCAAGAAAAAAGGAACCCACAACGCTCCTTCTGATGCTGAGCTCAAGAAGATCCAGAAAGAGAACGTAGGTAAAATCCTGTTGCTCTTCCAAAAGCAGGGAAAAGAGAGGCTCTACTTGTCCTCCAAACTTGCAAAGCAGGTGATGGCTTGCTGTTGAGTTTCTTTTGATACTGATATGATCTGCAACAGGAGGAGCTGTTGATAATGTCCAAGAATGAAAGCTTGCAAAAGCATCTCAACAAGGTCCAGTCCAAGACAGATCGCATCTGTAGACAGATGTTGCCATCTATTGACTCTCGGAGCCTTGCTGCGACTGTGAGCGATTACAGGAAGAGCTCCCACGAAAGTTTTTCGAAGCAAAGGGCAGGAATGGTGTCTATGGCCCAGACGGGAAAGAAGTGGTCGAGATCGAACAGGTCCGCGCTCTCACACTCGGGGCGGTCAAACAGTCTTGTAGAGTCCAAGACATATCCAAGATTTCACATGCGGGAACAGGATTCGCTGCCCTCCCCTCGAATAGACAGCGAGAACGTGACGTTCTTGACTGAGATCGGGTCAGATTTTGACCAGAATCTTGAACGAACTCTCAATCACTTCTCTGCGAGCCGCTCGCAACTCATTCCAAGAAGGAGCTCAAAGGAGATCGAAAGCTCCGTCAAGGTTGATCTCCCGAAGATCTCGCAAGCGCCCAAGGTCCAAGATCAGAATGTAGTGAAGGAGCAGCAACACCCGAAGCAACCAGACGACTCCGGCGTGGTAACCTCTGCTGACCATGAGTTCAAAGGTTGGGCACCTGCCACAATCACACTACAAGAGAACATGAAACCTAGGTGGGATGATGCTGTCAACACAAGCTCTGCTCTCAGCAACCTGCTGTCCAAGGGTCAGTGGCACCCCAGCATCATCGCATTTCAATCAGAACAAAATCCAAAACGTAAAGTCTCTCCCTACATGTCGTTGTCGACCAAGTCAAAGGTCAGGAGCGTCGAGGGTGTGACTGGTAGGAAGGGGCTGGGACAGAGACCTCAACACAAGCGAGACAAGGAGAGGGCAGCAAGCACCCAGCCCGTGGTTGGCTTCCAACAAGCAAATGAAGCTGAGGGATTCAAACAAGGACACTCCACACAACCCCTTGACCGAAATTTTAGCCGCCCGAGGTCAGATCTGGGATTGTATGCGGAGAAGGGAGGGAATTCCTACAAGTCAGCCAAGCTGGAGACCTGGATAGAAGAGAAGATCAGGAATGTGCTTGGAGAGAACGGGACGAAAGAAAGCATCTTCAAGCGATTGAATGCTCGCAATGAGGGCGCGGATGAATCCAACTCTAAGACAGAGATGCTGGAACCAAGACACACGCACACCGAAGAGACTCTCGAGGTCCAAGAGAGAACAGAAGCAATGCCAAGGCCGGAAGTTGAGAGCGTTGAAGAAGCCGAGGAGAACGTCTCCAACCTACTGAACAGGCTCAAGAGCTCTATGTCGAAGGCGCCTAAGCTTGAGCAGCAGCTGGAAGCCGTAGGGATACACCTGGAAGAAGAGGATGATCGTCAATCGCAAGAGAACAGACCTTTCACGCAGGCCAGAGACATCGAGCAGAACATCCGTGGAACTGAGATATCCAATACAGGGCGTGTGGACAGACAGGGAAATTATCAAGAGCTCGAGGCTTCCGCTGACGTTAATGACCGGAGAAACCAATTCAGCTCGCTGACGGACTCCTCCCGTGCTCGCTCAAGGTCGGACAAGAGAGTCGGGTGGGACCTTGACGATCGAGATTACGTGCCGAGCCGCGTGCCTTCTGCGGAGTCTTATGCCGGAAGCGAAGCTGCGAGCTTTCCTAACTCAAGTCGGTCAGAGATGGATGAAAGAGACGCTGCAGCTGTCAGGCCCAACGAGAACGAGAGGAATACCAGTGTACACATAGAGAATCAGAATGTTTCTGACGATCAGCTGAAAGACTTCTTCTCAAAGATCAGGCACAACAAGGTTGCTGAGGTCGAAGACTTGGTGCAGAGTGGTTTCCCGTTGGACAGGCGAGACGCTCATGGCAACACGCCACTGATGGTTGCTTCTCAGAATGGACATAAGAGACTTGTGAAAATGATTCTCAGAAACGGAGCTGATCCTAATGCTACAAACCACCAAGGGAACACTGCGCTGCACTTTGCCACAGCATACGGGTACAACACACTTTCAAAGTATCTCATGTCCAAAGGCGCTGACGATACATTGATCAACATGAAAGGGCTGACTTGCTACGATGGGCTGGGCTGATATTGAAAACAAGTTGTAAACTAAACGAACTCAACAAGATAGTAGATTATAGTGATCAAAATCGAAGCCTTATTTGCTAGCTCTATGTGTTTCAATGCGCAACACCCATCGCCGGCATACGGTCGTAGCTCTGATAGTTCACCGTTCTCATAGTACCCATATTCTCCAACTCCGAGGTTGGCGACTTGGCTGTCACGGTCTTCCGAACTCCCGTGGGGAGGATTGTCCGCTGCAAGCAGATTCAGCTCAGGTCACAGATGGGTAGCGGGTACCATGACTTGAGTGATCTTGGGGGGGAGATAGGGAAAGTCTCCATCTAGGATAGACAGCAGCACCTGGTCATCGTTGTTAATCGCAATCAGGTGGGTGCGTAGTGACTTGATACCGGAGTATTAGGAGGCCCTGTGAGAAACGAAATGACTTGATTCAACTGCAAACATACTTGTCAACAATTTCACGATGGATCAACCTGGCTTGATCAAACCGGCATGCCCTGCACGACGACAAGCTTGCTCTGAGGGCTCTGAGGGTTGGAGTTCACCGCATACAGGATGTCTCCCTTCAAGATGCGACCACCTACAGGTGCTCAGGCTCTCGGAGATTTGACAACAGCAACATGTACATGTTTGAGCAGGAGATCCTTGGCGAATGCTTGTGATTCTGTGCATGCCAAAGGTCGATTTCTCATCATCTTGATCGGGTTCGAAGGTGATGCCAATACCTGGACGTCTCCAACCTCATTCAAGTCAATCATGGCAACCCTGACCTGCCGTGTTGTACATGGAAGTCGGCGAGGGTGAACGCGGAGGTGACATCGGATGGTACGGAGATGTCGGTCGGTGCCCAGGAGACATCGGACGCCAGCCCGGCGACCCTGGACGTCCTCTGGGCGACAGAGGACGCCTTCCCGGGGACATCGGACGACCGCCTGGAGACATGGGCCGCCCTCTTGGGGACATGGGCCGCCGCCCTGGGGACATAGGACGACCACCCGGGGATACTGGACGTCGGCCTGGTGACAGTCCTCTTGCAGGATGCGGATTCTGCATACCTGGCATGCCCTGTGGATACTGCTGCTGCATGCCCTGCTGCTGCATGCCCTGCTGCTGCATGCCTTGCTGCTGCATGCCCTGCTGCTGCATGCCTGGCATGCCCTGTGGATACTGCTGCTGCATGCCCTGCTGCTGCATGCCCTGCTGCTGCATGCCTGGCATGCCCTGTGGATACTGCTGCTGCATGCCTTGCTGCTGCATGCCCTGCTGCTGCATACCTGGCATGCCCTGTGGATACTGCTGCTGCATGCCTTGCTGCTGCATGCCTTGTTGCTGCATACCTGGCATGCCCTGTGGATACTGCTGCTGCATGCCCTGCTGCTGCATGCCCTGTGGTCTAGGTTGCTGCTGCATGCCTCTCATGCTCTGTTGACCTCTAGGAGACATTGGTTGTCTCCCAGGAGACAAGGCGCGCCTACCAGGGGACAGGGCGCGCCTTCCAGGGGACACAGACCTTCGACCAGAGGCTGGTCTTCTGGGTTGTTGTTTAGAAAACGACTTGAATATTGGCATCCTGTTGTATCATACGTCAGATTCATGGTACAGTTTCGTGAAAATAAGTAGTAATCATTGCTACCTAAAGGTTGCTATCTAAGACCTCAGTACTTTCTATCCAACCTGAAGTGTGTTCACTTGTCTGAGACCATGTATCCTGCACTGTAACGATCTTGTTGGCCTTTCAACAAATCGGTCGAAATAAAATTGATGCACAATGACGCAATCATCACAATGGTGCCAAGGCATATGAGGCAACGGAACAAACTATTTGAATGCTGACAAACTAAATCGACAGGAGCGGTCAGCACGGGCCAGTGCTGACTTGCGAAGAAACTTAACGCAATGAGCATGTAACAACAGCTCCTTGCATCCCGTAGTGCCTCTACCCTAGGAGTTCAACACTCCCCAACACAGCATAGTAGGACTCCGGCAGTCTTGGTTGCTGCATGGGCCTCTGCGTCGCCGTCTCATCCTTTCCCCACCCACCCCTCCTGTTACCAGAGTGGGGAGGCCCACTGGGCCCTGGGGGTGAGCAAATTATCGGACCGTCGTACGAGTCGGGCCGGACCGCCGGGCCGCCCGGGCCGCCCGTGTCAGTGACGGCGTCGCCGGGACCGTCCGGCCCGGGCCGGGCCGGCCCGCCGGGCGCCGGGTACGGCGGCAGTGACCGTACTCCGTGATGACGGGCTCGGCGATCCGGCGGCCCGCCCGGGCTAATCACTGTAAGTTCCGAAAAAAGACGTCACTTTAGCGGCCCACACGGTAGATAAACATTGCTGTCATGACGGTCCGGTCACGAGTCAACTGTAGTACTAATTGCATGCTGACTTTGAAGGTGACACAAGGCCTTAAAAACCTCCTGAAAAGTCAATTTTTCGTGTGCCCTGGTCTCTTCTTGGGCAAACATCGCCGCCTTCGCTGACGGCAGTACTGCGGTACGGAGTTACTGTGCCGGCCCCTAATACCCTCCCCTTTCAAAGGTACTCCATCCACCCCCTTGTAACTAGCGGCGGCCGTGACTCAGTCGGACAGTTCAGTTTAGAATCGCCCCCCTAAGTGGCGGCGGACCCCTACAAACTACCATCAAGCCTGGGCCTGCGGCGGCCGTTGGTCCGAAAATCAGATGGTGATGTCACGAAGTTCCGGAAGGTAAAGCCGGCCTGTTGCTGCCCATTCGGAACTACCACCGGTGCTTCGATTTCCACCCCCTTCTGATACCCCCTCCCTTCCTACCTTTTCTTATAGCAGTGGACCCTTTGGGGGTGGGGCCAGGGAGGTAGGCTCTCGTCGGAGATGGGGTCCCTCGATGCTTCACTGGGGTGGGTCACAAGACCTTGTGACTGACCGAGTAACCAATAGGAGCAAGGTGAAGGGTTAGGGTTGAAAGGACGTGGTTTCCGTGCAGAAGCGGGAATAAGACGCGGGAGGGGAATACCAGGGGTCTAAGACCTGCACTGCAGCTCGGAGTAGGGGGTAGTGGACCAAGGGGGGAGGTTTTTGAGTTCATATCCGCCCCAGGTGAGCGTCGGAGGGTTAGCGAAAAGCTGTATTTTAGAAATGTACCCCACCCCAATGTTCGATGGGTCCATTCGACAGACCCCTATCTATACCACTCTTGCACTGAGAAATATAGGGGTACCAATTACTCCTACCTAAGTACCCCACCCCAACATAGCTGATGTCATCAAGCAAAGGTTCCGCCTTGATAAGACCTGTCGACACCTCCCATCCTCACTCGCAACTCGCCGTCCCTCAGTCAGCTCCTTCCTCACTTTCCTTGCCCCCTTCCTCTTGTTTTCCTCTTCTGTCAAGTCCGCTACTCATTGTCGCAGTCCCATCAACTCTTCCTTTCTGCTTTCTCCAAAAATCGCTACAAGCACATCCAGTCAAAAACATCTTGGTTCCAACAAAACCCACCTTCCAAAGCACACCCGAAGGTTTCTTGAACCTACGAATTGAAGAGCCAGCTTCAGACTTTATTGAATTCTCCAATCGAAAAATGTTTTCCAATCGTATCAGGCTATTCCCAAGGAGAAAGCTGGGCGAGGACGAAGGCCCTCAGAAGGGAAGACTGCCGCTCGTGATTGACATCACGACTCTTCAAAACCTGTACGGAGTTCCACTCGTTAAGGCTGCAAAGATCCTCGGCATCTCTCTCACCACGCTCAAGCAAGTCTGCCGCAGGCTGGGAATTCAGCGATGGCCATACCAGAAACCTCGCAAGGTCGAGACCGTTTTGCTGCCCCCGTCACTCACTGATAGGGCGATCAAGAGCTCCCTGTCCGATGTCGGTGATGGTGTAGATGAGACTGTCGAGTCTATTGAAGTAGAGCACGAGGACGAATCAGTAGCTGACAGCGAGGCTCATAGAGCTCCTCTTTCTCCTGACTGGGAGATCCGTGACGCCAGCTCCGAGGACGCTGAAGAATCTTTGGTCCCCGAGGAGCTAGTGCCTATTGCACCTGAGTGGATTCATTGGTACATCGAGTGCACAGACGGGATGGTTTGATATCAGACGATTTTGTTCTTTTTGCAAGAGCGATGGGTATATCATAGATTTAAATAGTTTCGTAGGAATTGCGAAAGCGCCTTGTTATGTAAAACTCAGATTAAACATGAAGACATTTCCATACCATGATTTCGCTCGGTCCTGTCATTCTCGTCAGAATCGATGTAGTTTTCATCATACGCATAGTTCAATTATGCATACATTTCGAACTTTAATAGACGAACTGATATCTCTTCACTAAATCCAATTTTTTCACAACACGAAAATTCATGTGTAACAGTACGATGTCTTAGCGAATACTCAAAAATCCTCCACAGCATAATAAAGACATAGCGTAGTATGATGGCATAACGTAAATTCGAGATGCGATACACTCGATGCGATGTAGGTCTGCGGCTGACAACTCGAAGTGTTGTTCTAAAAAGGTCCTCATCTCATCGCAGATGATCAGCGGAGAATCATCAGGTGTGGTGAGTTCCCTTGTGCGCGAGCTAGCTTCCTTGAGCTTACACCTCGTACTCTTGCAGTGCTACCAGTAAAGGAGAGACCATCATTACCTGATAGCCTCTGTCTTCTACCAGGATTGTCGTTCTGTCGTATGCAATGAGCAGGAATGTTCAAAGACTAGTATGTTGCGTTATTGGAGCGATACTCACCATAGATTCTTGAGTGAATTTCTCAATTTGTTTTTGATTGCTAACTTTGCTGAAGAGCAAGGAGTCTCTCCATGCTGCTCGCAATGCTCAGATTGTTCTTGATCCCACGTTACCTATCCCGAGATGTGCGGTGCGGGTTGCTGCAAAGGGGTCATTGGTACAAGTTCATCCTTACCAAGATGCTTTTGAGCCTTGTTTCCTCGAAAACAGCCAAAGCTTGCAAGCAAGGAACTTAGAGCTAGATTTTGATAGCGTGGTTAGCAGAATTGATTCAGAACATCTCTGATTATGACAAACCAGCCTTGTCCACGCACATAACGCTGTTGATTGATTACAGTCCAAGGAATGCATGACAGAAGGTATCAAGGTACTTGTTTTTACAATGATGCTAAGATCTAGTATCGTATTAGATACAGCAGCAGTATCATAGTAGTATCATAGTAGGATCATAGTACTATGATTCCAGTATCATATCGAGATCATACGATTGTCGATTCAGTGTCATATCAGTATGATATCAGTATGATATCAGTATCAAATCAACCACACCCCTCTGCTTTGATACAGCAGCTAAGTGCACGGCTGCACTTGTGCGATCTCATTAAGTTTTCTGATAAAGGAACACTGGTGCATGATTGGCGGAGGCGGAGAAAATTCATGATGATCACGCTCCAGAATCCTTTTTCAGGAAACGCTTGCTGTATTCTAGAAAATACTGATTACTTCTACATTCAGATTTTCGCTATTGGAACGTTCAGAAGGATTGATGCTCCATTGACTGGGCAACTTGAATGTTGTATCAGCTTTAAGGTACAATTTTCTTCTCTATTCATCTCAACTTGTAATTCTCTTCGAAAGGCTTTCTACAACCCTCACACACGATGATTCTCTGTGAGACTTTAAGCAAGTGTCGTCTATCTTCTCGATTCAGCGAACTGATCTCTTGCTCCTCCTCGCGCATCGCCATACACATGCAATAGCATCGAGCAAATGCTGGTCCGTCGGGGAGGCTGAAAAACAATTGAAGCTTTTCTCTAAATGTTCAATTCATAATTGGTGTAAATTCAACTTTGGCAATAGATAGTCACTCAAGAGCAGGAGCAGGAGCAGGATCAGGAGCAGGAGCAGGAGCAGGAGCAGGAGCAGGAGCAGGAGCAGGAGCAGGAGCAGGAGCAGGAGCAGGAGCAGGAGCAGGAGCAGGAGCAGGAGCAGGAGCAGGAATGGTAGGGAGACAACGAACAAGAATATGGAGATGAATATGAGAAAGAGCAACAAGCAGCATATAGAATGCCTTGTCCAAGGGATTGAACTTTAAAGGCGACAGTGGCAGCCGTTGAAGATCATTCGTGGAGGCATCGACAGTTGGCTTGCTATCTTGTTGCCATAACAAAGACGATGAGGAAGACAACGGTCGCCGAGGTCGTCGAAATTTGATCACGCACATTCTTGCTTCAGAAGCCCTGGGCATGGATGGTCCAGCTCGTCTCGAGCCGTCTACAAGAGAGAATCTAAGGGGCGCCCCTTCAGGCGAGTATCTGCGCAACATGGAGCTGCCTGTAGTAGTGTCCGAACAATCGGCAACGCAGAGCATTGAGGAAAGCGTGGCTGAGTCAGGAGATAGTGTCTGGTGGCGACTTTTCAAGTTTGTGGTTCTTGTTGGAATCATTGTCGGATTGTATGAGCTGAGCGTGAAGGTAATTTCAATCCCCATCATGTAAATAACTGATTGCCTGCATGCAAAGCTTGGATCTCTCACTCTCGACTTGAGGTTGGATATCAAGGTGATCTGATAGCAAACTTCTCAGTTTTGACATGTGCTGCAGAAAAAAGTCCCGATATGGTCGATATGCGTCACATTTGTTATTCTCAATATTGTGTACAAGCTTCTTCCAGTGCTTTACCTGTGCCTTCCTCTCAATCTGGTGGCGGAAGTCGCGCTTGCGGACAAGTTAGGACCAGAGAAAGCAACGATAATCATGCAAGCAATGATGGCTTCTGATGCCATAGTGTTCTACGTCCTGCACATCCGATGGAAGGATACGGTGGACGAAATCCTTGCTGGACGAATGTGGTGGATGCCTTCGGAGCTCGTGAGTTTCTGAATCATATGAGAACTTGGATGATCTTTAGTCCTGTTTGGATGTCTCAGTGTGAATGTTTATCTTTTGCGCTTTGATCGCTTGTCTTGCGCTACCTTGATAATGTGTCAAGGTCCGCGCTATCCGAGTGCTTGACAGGGGATGGCGGCAACACACCAGATCTGTGCCTGTATATCATCAGGTGGCGGTTGGTTGGAAGTTTTGAATCGTCTGAGAGATGGTCAGGCCGCCATTGTCTTCCTGTTCATGGCATGTTACTTCATGGATGACTTGGTCAATCTCATGTGGCTAAGTGAGTTTTCTGCCTGCATAAGAGCTCATGGGTTGTGATGGTATGTAGGTACTCGATCCGGTATCACATTTCCTGTCTTCCTTGTTGGATTTCTCCCTGGACTCGCTGCGGAGTATCCCAAACAAGTGTTGCGTCTAAGGTAAAGGGAGAGATTTCTATGAGGCGACCTGAAGGGATCCGCAGGATTGTTATCTCTGTAGCAGATGTCATTGGATCAGGTTCCAGCAACATCTTCTCTATCCTTACCAGCAAAGATCTACAAGAGAGATTGCAACTGACTCCTGCATTTGTACGTTTCCCCTGTCGGCTGTTATCTTTCCCTTGATGACAAGACTCACAGATTGTGATCTTTGTTCTCGTCAACATTGTTCCTACTTTTATTGTTTACATCGCCCACATCAATTTCATTCTCCGTGCGGTCGTCAGCTGCTACAAGAGAAAGTCAAGTCGAAATGCGCACGCACCAGATGACAATGAAGCTTTTGCACCTGGAAGTGACAGCGGCGAAATAGAAATCGGCTCAGCACATGCCGAACAGGATAAGAAGGAAGAGGACTAACGCGTCCTGTTACTCAAGGATCGTATGTTTGATCGCTACTTTGATCGCTAGTTTTTGTGTACAGTTTGTTATTTTTCCTTTTCGTTGAAAACCCTGAGTGGAATGACGATTTGGTGTGCGGTTTCAAACTGATTTTATTTACATCAAGTCTGCATGCATTTGCCTAGAGTCGCATGTTATCGTTGGTAGTTTACCATTGTCTCTATGTGTTGAGACTTTCACCTACCAAAGCCCGTCGCTCAGCATAAATATACACAACAAAACCATGATCTACCAGGTGATCCCAGGCACTCTAGCTCTGAATTCTGGGCAAGTCTCGGGAATGACACAAATAGAAGTATCTGCAGACCATCAGAACAGACGAAAGGCACACGAAACAACATTACTTGATCCAAGATTCGGAAACGCACTCGCTGGGATTTCTGGATTGAGCTGTTTGAGCAGGTCCAGCGAGATTCCAAATCGAACTGAGGAAGAGAAGAAGTAAACACATACGACATCCACGACGCGAGAAGAACCTGAGAGGAGCATGAGGGTGTCTCCATCCGTCGTCGAGTAGATGATCCCTAGATTGATCTCCTGCCCCTGCATATCCATCATCATCTCCAACTCCAACCCCCTTCAAACCCACCGCGCTGATCTTGTCTGGACTGAGCAGGAAAGGATTCACCGACCAGATTTGAGACCAGTGCCGATTGTAGAGGCCTGCGATGCTCTCCAGAGTCTGATCCTCCGATAGACACATCTTGCACTTATTCACCGTCACCCGCAACAATGATGAGGTGTCGCAGGTCGGCACAAACACGTTCAGCAAGTAGGTTTGTGCTGAATGAACGAGCTCGGGAGTCCAGACAACACGAGAGACGTAATATATCATGTTTGTGAAGGCTTCAGTCTTAGGCGGAGAGCTGGCAAACTGCGTGCTCTGCAGACTAGGTAATGAAACGCCCATGACAACATCGTGTGTGAGTTTGACCGAATTCGTGTCCAAAGACAGGCCAGGCTTTACGTGGAAGTTCAGATCTACTGTCAAGGTGCACCCGACGGAAGTTGTTCTGTAGAGTTGAGACGAGGCAACCTCAAACTGCGGGCAAGTAACGTTGGACGCGACTGCGGGTTGAGCGACGACGACGCAAAGCAAGAGGAGTATCGGAGACAAAATAAGCTTGAGGCCACAGAGAGCAGTGGATGGCATCGAGCTAGTCCAGGATTACAGCCGAGAACGCTGCTAATCAGTCGCACACTAGCTCTTCTGCTTCCACAGAAGTTACCAACTCCTAGATTCCAGGAGCGATTCAAAGCTCTGTGGTTTGACAACGAGTGGAGCGCGAGAAAGATACTGATGATGCAATGACAAGGGATGATAGATAATGAAGACAATGCAGAAACACCGATGTCTCTAGGAGGACAGATCGCTGCCATGCGGCAGCCGCTCCTCCTGTTCTGGTTCAGCCCCTGCCATTATGGCTTTTGGTGGTGAAACGTAGACAGTTGAAGAGATAACGTATTTGTAACGTCGGAAGTAACGGAGAAATGTCGACAATCCATATAAGGGGTTCTTACCCCTTGTTTTGAAGGTGAAAGTACCGGTATAATTGGAAGCGGTGGGATCCCCTGCAGAACTCGCCAGTGATTAGTTGGTAGGGTGGGGTCTTACACCGGGAGTCCTCAAAGGGCTGGGGTATAGACTAGTGAGTAATTAATTAGTGTCTCAATCAAGAAAATGACAATCTTGTGATGATCTCCAAAGAGTTTGGCAGGCAGTTGTTCAGTAAGCACTCAAAGCAGCCTCGCAATGCTCAAGGCGCTGTTTCTCGTATCCACCGCCATGACGGCGCAGGCGTTCCTGCTCTCGCCGTCGTCCTCCGTCTCCTCTGCCTCTCATCGCCTTCCAGACGTGTCTGCGCGTGATGGGACGAGCAGCTGGAGAGCCTCTCCCTTGTCGTTGAAGGCTCAACAAGATCCCGAATGTCGTCGTAAATTCATGCGCAACTTTGCGGCTGCTGGAATGCCTCTCCTCCTCCTCGATTACTCTCGAGAGGCGCATGCATACAACTTTGATGTCAAGGAAGGAGACAAGGCACGCCAGGATTACTTGGAGGACGTGGCTTCGATGAAGAAGGCTCGATGGAACCGACAGGTAAAATGAGACGTGATAGAGGGATTCTGATGGCGGGAGCAGCCAACGCGCCTGGACATCGAGAGAACTCTTCCTAAGATGGCGCCAGTGAAGGGCATCATGGATCAAGTGAGAAGTGCACTGGAAAAGGGGGATGTGGCGAATGTTGCAACCATCATCGGAGATCAGAGCATTGAGTTCACGAAGAGGAACTCGAATCTCGGTGTCGACATCCCTGAGTTGCAGGTGACGCAATACTGATGATATTGCCTTGACTCAATGAGATAAACAGGTTGCGAAGCCCTACATGTATCGATATGCTCAGGCCTTCAGTGGTGCGAAGGAATCAGCTCTTACCAAGGATATCAAGGTGTGTTCTGTCGTGTGAAGCTTGCATCCCAGATCGAATCTTCATCTTACTTCCTCTTGATTCAAAGGACTTTCTCGATGCCTATTTCAACGCCATGACCAAAACGAGAGAATCAGCTCTCAGCGGAGATAAGGAGGGAACTAAGGTTGGTCTAAAGCACACGTGAAGCTTTCGCTGATCTCTTCCTCCCCTTCTAGGCAAGCTTTCAGAGCGCAGAAGATGCTTTGAAAGGACTTGTATGGAGGCGTTTCTTGAGGGATCCCTGGCCTAACGCGGATCCTCAGGTGGAAGCTGTTGACAAGGAGACACTGAATGGGCGTCTGAACAGCATCAAGGTAGGAACAGCCAGGAAGTCTTTTAACGCCTCATCCTGCCTTCAGGTTTCCCTTGGGTTTCTGATCGGTAGGGAGCAGCTTGGCAGCGTTAAGGTTGTCGAAGAGAACATGAAGGAGATGCGCCGAAGAGAGAAGGAGGGAGTGTATCCATCGGGCGATCCCACCAAGAAGTTTCTCTAAGTGCTTTGAATCCGAATGCAACGGTCATGATTCAAGGTCCTTGGTGTTAGAGTTGTCTGCACCTCTATCCGACTGTCTGTGCTGTTTGATCTTGACCAGTAGAGCACAGACAATAGAAACGAAGCACTGCTTCTTCAATGGGACAAGAAAAGAATGAATGACTGGGCTGAGGAAGGTCCTATATATCTTTACAGGCAGAATCTTACATCCAACATCACACATTACTTGTGTGAGTCGTTGCAGAATCGAAATCCAGTTAGTCAGCGTTTGATGTTTCATTTTGCGTGTACTGTTCCTGCAGCGAACAAGCAAGATTGCAAGTTGCATCTGTGTTCAACTTCCTCCGGGCACATTTTGAAAAGAAATCTTGAGATTTGACAAATTAGATTCAGCTTGACAGATTGCAGTGATCTCTTTATTTACAGAAGTGTGCTTTGAAAACTCGAGCTGCACGAACACTCTCACTCGAGTCATAGGAGAGAGAAATAAGGGTCGATCAGATTGGGCTCAGGTTCCAGCAGACCCTCGAGCTCATTCTCTATCTCGCTACTATATTCCATGTCAACGTTTAGGAACTCGCTTCCTGACTCGGTTGCTTCCTCGCTGTCCCAGCCAGGTTGAGTGCTGATGCTGGGCTGCAATTCAAAGATCAGGGCGTCTGTAGGGAGCGGTAAGACATCCACTTCCTCCGATGAGAAGCTGCAGATCTCGCTAACATCTTCAAGAGGTTCGCTCGTTTTATCAGTCTTGATGTTGACCATCTCTTTGTGCGAAGGCTTCTGGTATGGCCACCGCCCTACCCCCAGCTTCCTGCAAAGCTGCTTCATCGCCGTCACCGAGATCCCCAGGAGCTTGCTGGCCTCCTCCTGCGGGAGTCCGAAGAGCGGCTGGAGGGTGGAGATGTCGACCATGAGAGCCTTGCCCTTGTAGGGCTTGGAGTCTTGGAAGGCCTTTCGCCTCGGGAAGATTCGAACCTGCAATCCTTCCTCTTGTAGGCTTGCCATGGCGCGCTATTTTCTGTTGGATGGTGTAGAGAGTGTGTGAAGGAGTGTTTGTAGACTTATGCAGATATGCAGCCAAGGTGATCGATCGATGGATGTCGGTGCCTTACAAGTGGACTAGGTGCCTTACAAGTGGACTAGGTGCGTTCGAGCTTTTATGCTCGCCTGCTCCTTCCTGGATCCGTCGGTCGCTTTATTCGAAAATATATATTTTCATGAAAACATGAGGCATCAAGGTGGCATTGCTTACATTGCTGACAGATGACCCGACCATACTTGTACCGATGTTTTAATCCATACAAAACAGAAATATGCGATATGACCCATTTCCAGTTGGCATGCGTCCTTTCACCAGTAGTAATGTCAGACCTGCTACCCGCTAGTCATCCGGTACCGACTGGTCACTCGATTCGGAGATATATCCAATATAATATATATATATATATATGCAGTAAAGTTTGACTGGCAGTTGGTCACCCGGGTGACATTCCAAGTGACTCCGCCTTTGGTGGAGTAAAGGGCGCCCCGAATTTTTAGTGCGGCGGATTGTCCTACTAGGCTACCTCGTACTGATTTTTAACTTAACTTTGTTGCCACAGTCCGACCCGGCGCGGGGGGAATGGTCGGACAAGTGTACCGTACTGATTTTGCTGAGGATCCGAGTGAGCCGTTTGGTTCTGAGCGAGTCCGATCAGGCTCGCTGTCTTTCAAGTCTCTCAGAGTCTCGCCCCGTTAGCCTCCTGGGAGTCAGTGTGACGGTGCGACACAGTGTTGGGGTCAAGCCTCCTGAGTCGACTCTCAGTCTGGCCCGAGCCTGATTGTCCGTCGGACGGTCACTGAGGCGAGTCTTACTACGGCGGTACCGTCACGCCGGAATACTGTAACTACTTGACAGACGGTGACCAAACTTGTGCCGCAGCAGTGACCGCACATGAAGTGGATCCGGAATCCAGAATCCGATCATGGATCGACGGACTTGAAGGGGCTGGATGAGGGTCGTAGCCTGGCCGGATAGGGAGTCAACTTCAATCCATCATCATGGCAGTCTACACTGTGGATCCCCGAGCCGCCCGCGGGCGCGGCCCGGCGCCTGGTGGCGCAAGCACTGGCGGCACCGAGTCCGGGTGCTGCCAGGGTCAAAGTCGGAACTTCCGAAGTTCAAGCCGCCGCTGAGGGTTCCTTCCTGGCCGAGTTTTCTAGGCAATGACTCCAGGACTTCGGGAGGCATGCTGACAGCGAAGGACTATGCGGATGCATATTGTTTGTGCGTCTGGTGGGCGCTGCGACTCTAAGAATAGAAATGGCAGCTCTCATGTTGTATGCTCATGTTCGACTTGCCAAGTTGCCAGTGAAATAGAGGCATATCTTTGCCCCACATCCTTGCTGGGGAAGCTCAACAAGGAAATAGTCCCAACATTCAAGGCCCACACGTTTGCACATTGCGTTGTTTATCTTTTGTAAAACAATAGGTTTGATTAATACACGAGATCAGCTTACACCTTCGAATCAGACAAGGAGATCGCAAGGCTCAATTTCCGAAAAATCCGTCTTGAACAATTGTTCAAGAATCGCCTGGTCTTCCTGTTCACTCCAGCTCAAGTCGTCCACCTCTTCGGTACGAGGTTCGTTTGGAACCTTTATCATCTGTATCTCGATATCTCTGTTGATAATCTGGTCGGGTGTTGACGATGACTCATCTGAAAAGTTGCTGCTGCTATCACTTGTGTCGTCCGACACATCAAGAGCTGAAATCGTGCCCATTAAAAGCCCGTCAAACATCTCCTTTTCCTTGCGTGTGGGCTTCTGGTATGGCCACCGCCCTACCCCCAGCTTCCTGCAAAGCTGCTTCATCGCCGTCACCGAGATCCCCAGGAGCTTGCTGGCCTCCTCCTGCGGGAGTCCGAAGAGCGGCTGGAGGGTGGAGATGTCGACCATGAGGGCCTTGCCTTTGTGAGGTCGAGCGTCTTGGAAGGCCTTTCGCCTCGGGAAGATGCGAACTTGTTGTTGTTGTTGTTGTTGAGGATGATGAGGATGAGGATGATGTCTTGGATAATCAATGAAGGACATGTCTTGTTAGATGTTGCTAGGAATGAAAATGGCTCTGATTGGTTGTTCTGTGAACGTCGCAATGATGCTGCGTGGGTGGACCTGGGGGGTAGCGTGTGAAGCGTGGGGTTCGCTCCTTTGTGCACAATCCGACGTTGAGTAATAATTACGACGCACCCCCTGTGTTGCGGAAAGGCTTCTTTTCGACTCACGTATCTTCAGTAATGATTCGCGTCCTTTTCATAGGTACCTTTCCTGCGCCCTCCTGAACAGGGGGTGGGGGTGGTCGTAGGAGTGATGGTCACATGACTCCCGATGACCATTTCTCATGAAATCTTGTCATTTCGATGTCAGCAGCAACCCCGATCGGCCGCACGCAGTACCAAGAAGCGGGCAAGTCGAGTTTTGACCGTCAAGAGGACAGCCGAGGGCCCCCTGGCAGAATCGTCGGAACAGTACCTTCTTGGTATGAGTACCCCCTCCTTTCCCCGGCTCACCCGGCAAGAAGTCTTTGCCTCAAAGTTTACACCGGGATTCGGAACATGCCCGAGAGCAAAAATTACGTCGAGTGCGCGCGACCAGAGGATCTTCAAGTTTTTTTTTTTCCAATAAAATCTTTAAAACCTTTTGTACGGAAAGTGTCGAAAGGGCCGCGTTAGCGTGGGACTGGCGGGAGCTGCTGAGGTGACTCGGTGTAGTAGAAGAGAACGATAGAGCTCCAGAGCTTCTGCTGTCCCTGCTGGGTGCATCTTCGTCGTCCTTTCGTGCCCAGGGGAACAAAATGCGAAAGCGTTAGAAACGATCTTTGTGGATCGTCCACCATCTCTCTGACCTATCTGCGAGAACGAGGGCCAACACTTGTGTTGTCACTTGTTTGGATATGAGACATCTTCCAACGATCTGGAAAGCTCTTATGAGCAGCATCAAGACTCCATGAAGAATAGTTTAACAAAAATAAACAGCTTTGTGAATGAAAGACATATATTTCTGACACAAGTGCGATGCCCTTTCGTCGGAGCAAACGCGCCATCTGGTTTACTGCTTGCAGTATGGAGATCAAGTGGCAATGCACAAAAAAAAATCTGGCTGCGTTTGGTCGATAAACGAAGTAAACGCAAACAAGAGTGCCACGGTTTGTGATGTGTAGAGTATGTGTGCACAGGAAACGCAGCCACATTGTCAATTTCTGGCATTCCATGCTTGATTCGAGATCAACCAATGACGACAGATTGTCCGAGAATTACTGTGGCTGTAGAAACTACTATGGGAAAAACACTCTGCACATTCCGTTCCACAACGCTAAAGCATGCACATCCAGATTATCAACATGATAAACAAAGCATGGTTTATGACATATCTTATATTTTATTTTCGAAGATTTGCACTGTACAAAGGGTGTTTTACAGGTTGGAAACCTCTCTATAGCAGAGGCCGAAAAGGATCAATCATGCTGAATTCCGGCTCGAGCAAACTCTCAAGCTCATTCTCTATCTCACTCGTATCACTAAAGTCTAGATCAAAGTCGCTGCTAGTGTCCGTTGTTGCCTCGCTGTCCCAGCTAGGAAGTGAGCTCAATTCAGGTCTCCTTTCTTGCTCCTCAAAGCTGTGGAAAGAAACATTCTCTATCGGTTCTGGAAGAGAGCAGAGAAGCATGCTCGGCTCGTCAACAACGGAAACAGATATCTGAGCATCAAAATCTTGGGAAATAGGAGATGCTCTCTCCTTGTGCGTGGGCTTCTGGTATGGCCACCGCCCTACCCCCAGCTTCCTGCAAAGCTGCTTCATCGCCGTCACCGAGATCCCCAGGAGCTTGCTGGCCTCCTCCTGCGGGAGTCCGAAGAGCGGCTGGAGGGTGGAGATGTCGACCATGAGGGCCTTGCCTTTGTGAGGTCGAGCGTCTTGGAAGGCCTTTCGCCTTGGGAAGATGCGAACTTTCTTTGATTCTTCGATTTGCTGGTATTGCATGTTCAAATCAAGATTTGGTGTCACCGAGTATCAAGGAGATGGGTGAAATTCAAATTTGTTTGGATCTATGTGGCTTTCTGCCCTCGCAAGGATTTGATTGTTCTGTTGCGGTATGCGCAGTGAGTAGTAGCAAGCAGGTGATGACGACGACGCTTTAATAAGATGCTCGGAAGTATCCCTGCTGACTGTGCTGACTTCCTTGAAAAAAAAAATTGGTCACGAAAAATATTGCTTTCGAGAAGATCCGTCCTTGCGTGCATCGATTTACAAGTTTACAACACGATTGTCTGATAACCGACAGTCCGATCAGGGACGCCCGTGACTCCTTGATTTTGCTCCCTCCCCACTTACACCTCCAGGAGGCGACACGTATTCTTCCTTAGTTATATTAGAACTTCCCAACCTGTCGGCTGACTCAATAACCCCTAATGAGCTCGCAAGGGGTTTCAACTTTTGCAAAAGTCAAACCAGAAATGTACTACCGTACTTAACTTTGAGTAAAAGTACGCCGGTACGTTAGAGAATCTGATGAACCGTTTTAATCAGTAGTACCGTACCGTGGGTGAGCCGCCACTGAATCTCGCCGAATCGGCAGCGGCCAGGCGGTACGTCCGGAAGTTCGGTAAGTTCTTACACCCCGGGTGACTCGGACCTGGCACCGGGTACGGCCACGATACGGCGCGGCGGCGCGCACTGATTTAAGTTGCGGGCGGCATCAAGTTGCGGCAACTTATCGAATGTCGCCGCCGGGACTCGGCCTCGTGACGCGCCGCCCGGGGCCGGCCCCGGCCCCCGCTGATCCCGGCGACTCGATTCCGAACCGTGAGATGGGATCCTCCGGCCCCGGTGACGCGAGGGCCCGGACCGTACCGGGCCGCGCGGCGGGCCCCTCCGGCCCGGGAGTCCCGGTCCACCGATGGGCCGGGGATCTTCAACCGTTCCACCCGTGACCAGTACTGGCAACTTGAAACTTACTACCGTAGTACCGTGGTCATCCGGGGCCCGGCCGGGCGGCCCGCGGCGCGATCGGACCGTTCGACCACACGTTTTCGAATGCAGCCGCGCCGGCAGTGCCCTGGCATGATTAGAGTCGGCCGCCAGGCGCCACTGCGAGCCGCTGAACGGCGAACTTGGGTGAGCCTCAGGCAGGGACTCGGGCCTTGTGCTGACCGTAAGATCCTGGCCCGGCCGCGGCGTTTGCGTTTGCAAGTCTTGACAGTAAAGTAGTTCTTGACAGTGAAGGTGCCTCGTATCATCATCCGAGTCGGAGCCCCCAAAGTTCACCCCGGGCCCGGTGGCACCGTCCGTCCAATCACCGGTGACCGTGCAAGGTCAGTGAACGGTACTGTCACATTAAGTTACGCCCCCGTCCGTAGTCCGGCCGCTTTAACTAATGACTCCCGTGAACTTGAAACTCAGGCTTCAAGTTTAACGGTGAAACCAAGTACGGTAAGAGGACAATCATGGCATCACTGGTGTTTGACCGTTGATCACTCACTGGTGTTTGACGTCTTGTTTCGGCGGAGTGGGCAGTGGCATGCCATTCAAGTTCACTGATTCCAACAGTACGGCCCTAGTCTGAGTAGTAACGGCGGCTTAGCTGAGGCAGCGGCGGCGGCGGCGAGGCCGAGTCCCGGACTCTGACGAGTCTCCGAGTCCGACAGAGGGCCAGTGACCTCCGACCGCTTCAACAGGTCGCTTGAGCCCGATTCAGTGATCGAGGTCCAAAAGGCATGCCATGATGATCTCCTTCAAGTGAGTCACGAGGAGGGCCTTAGTGACCGGGCACTGTCGCACCATGACGGTGGTCCGCCGTCACGGGTACGGTCATCAAGCGCGCCGGCAGCGCTCAACGTTTTGTTTGAACTCAACTCGATTAAGCCAAGCCTTGAAGTTTTGGGGCCCAGCACTCAGCAGGATGATGTTATGACGGTGCTGCCAAACTTTCGGCCCCAGCTTGCTGCAGGCTACCAGAGCAACTTCATTGAATTGTGATCACCCGACGAATCATTTCATTTCTTTATTGACTGAAAAGGAAAGGCAAACCGGAGCAAACAAAAGAGTTTCACGATTCAACTCCCTCATGAAGTTCCTATTCAGTTAAATATTACTAGGCTCAGAATTTCCAAATGGTCGAGTCCTTTTACACTACCTTGAATTTGAATATTGAAAACGCCCAGCATACTCCTTGACTGACTCAATGTCCATGTTTCGACCAGCACTCGCAACCAGCAGGTCATGACAGAACGATCATGGTATGCAGGTTCAACTTCCAGAAGTTCTGCAATTGCAATGAGATCTCCCGCCCATGAAAAGCAGGAGTGATGCAGGGCATGGCGCAATGCAAAGTGAAAACCATGTCTGCTGAGACTGTCGAGAGCTGGGCGACATCCTGCAGGTAGTCGGATTGCATCTTGGCTCTGAAGCAAGAAAGCTTTAGCTCATGCTTTGACAGACATGCTTCGATCCAACACTCGGCCTCTCTCAGCTCGAGCGGAGTTAGCTCAATCCTTAGCTCCTCGTTGAGCGTATGAAGCAGGGTCTCGCTCTTGAGGTAACGACCTTTGTGCTGCATCGTCAAGCGGCCCGACTCTTCCGATTGGTTCTCTCGCATCCGAAGGATTTCGCGCATGACCTGATTCTCCACATGCACAGTGCTGATTTTCTTCGCACATGTGTACAGGCTGGAGGCACCAGAGCGTACAACATCGTACCTTGAGCAACCTCCCTCAGTCTTGATGACGCTTCTGTTCACAGCCTGCAATTTTGAGCTGCTGCTCTCTGTTTCTTCAGCCTCCCTCATCCTGACAGTGCTTGTAGCCATTGCGTGCGAAGGCGATGGAGCGCGTGGAGAAAACATGATTTCTAGTCGAAAGAAGCTGCCACACGATGCTTGCAACTCGACGCACTGCCGAACACAAGCTACTCCACATGATGCCATGCAAGCTGAGATAGCTCTGATAGCAGCGGCTTGGACGGACCAGTCTAACTCTTCCGTGCGTATCGATCTAATGAGTTGTCTCGCTGAAAATTGGCATGTACCAATCTTTGACGTAATGCTCCACCTTCCTATCTTTTGATTGACGGTGCGCTTACAGCTGAATGTCATCGCACGCATCATTTCATTAGGGACGTATTGTTCCACGATTGTAGCGTCAGTCTCTTCGTCAAAACTCAACTCCCTTGCGAAGTCATCGTGTTCAAAAAGTTTTTCGAGAAGATCACGATGCCGTTTAAACATGTCGTGCCTCCGATTGATAAAACTGGCAAGCGATGGAATGGAGGCTATTCTCAACTGTGGAAACTTCAGCGGAAGGTTCACAATGTCGGATCCCACTATTTTTTCTCCATCCCCACATGTCTGGATAAGCATATATTTGACCATCGTGTTACACTCCAAGGGGTCCAAGTCAACTTGATCGTCATTGACAGTGTCATGGCATGCCTCGTTAATGATCGATGTAATCATTTTCTGCTCAAACTTGCGCAATTTTTGAGCAGAAGCAGAGTCCTCTGTAAAGATTCGATCCTTCATCGCTAGCACAGGCGAGATTACAAACGTCTGGGAGGTCATAGTGGGCAAGAAATTTCAACTTGTTCCTGCTCTTGCCCTTGCTCTTGCTGTTGTTGTATTATTATCCCTTTGCTGGGAACCCACAAATTTGTTCGAACTTTTTTCGAGGCAGGCACGAATTTTACCGGGCCCGGTCTGTAACCCCGGGCCCGGGGGTACCGGATGACTTTCTCAGTGAGTGTGTGATGAAACTGAGCCAGCCTCAGAGACAGGTGGGGCCGGCTGCGGCAGTAGTAAAATAACTTTGAAGTTGTCCGACCCCCAAACGACGCCATTTTACTGCCCCCGCTGGTAACTTTTGGCATTTGCGATTGGGTCGTAGGGAGTATTTGAAATTTGATAGCAACAGAACAACCATGTGAAATATGTTTACCGATCACGAAAACAGAACGACCACACTGTGTGATATGACCCCACATGTGAGCGATTGTCTAACAGGGTACCCCTGTCATTTGTCAACTTGTTCTCTTTGACTGGAGGCACCCACCATAGTATGGATATTCATATAGTTCAGTACTATGCTCATTGTGCACTCTCATCATACAGCTCCTGAAATCCAACCACCCTTGACACAAGTACCCTACACTAAAATATTACCGCCTTCCATTTCTGTGTTCCAAACCACCCTACCCCCTTTTTTAGCACCTGGATGCTCGATCAACCGATTAGCAGGCATGCGAGGAAAGATCAGGATGAGCAGGATGAAGGCCATAATGGTAGTTAAGCATCTTGTGGAGATGTAATGCTCCCATGGTTGATATTGGTGATGATTATGACAATGGCAATCATTGAAATGATAGACAACATGGAGTTTCGAGGATGTGTCCTCGTCGTGAGAATCAGACAAGGTTGACTACTGGAGCGGGGCAATGTGTAGTGATATGTTGATGTTGGCAAGGGATCACGGATATGCTGATTAGAATCTACAGCATGTACTACTTTTCAACCTTGGAACCACATGCGCCCTCAGAACACTTCTGACGTAGAAGTAGCAATGACTAGAGTTTTCTTAATGGTTCAGGCTCCAGGGTCGCAGTTCTAATGTTGGGCTGTTGCTCTTGCTGAAGACAGCATTGGACTTCCTAGATAGGAAATGCCTCAAACAAGTCAGACAAGCAAGTTGCATGCTGTGAAATCACATTCTTTCAATTTAGCAGCCATGTTGTGTCCTGTGTCCTTGTAACTGACATCTTTTGAAGCCAACTTCACGAGGGCATGGTCGACATTTGAGCCTGAGTTGCGCTCAACATGGACGTAGGACAATCGATGCGCACATCAGTGCTGCAAGGATTTGATCAGTCGAAGCTACACCCCCCTCTCCGATATGGAGATAGAATCGCACTCGTTCCCAATGGGCTCAATGGGATAGCCTGCTATGACAGGTGAGAACTTCGGAAGGCCAAGAGTGAAACTCTTGTGGGTTCGTTCTGACTGTGTTGGTGTCAGGTCTCTCAGCAATGAGCCTTCAGTGGAGCTCTTGGAACCAGATGAAGCCATGCCGCAAAACGTGGAGCTCTGCCATTGGAAGATGATCCCAAAGCTGCAGTACGAGGCAGCAAAAGCTCTGAAGAAGCTGTTGAAGAAGGGAACGTGGGACGGCGGTCAAGGACTTGATCTACCCTCTGCTCCAAAAGCCAGTCATCATATCGATGCAGATGTCAAGGAGTTTGCGGCGGCCCACAACATCCAGAACCAAACGGATTTGAAGGAAGTTTTCAGGCTGTTGATGGATGTGGAGGAAGAAAGGAATGCTAACGAGGCTGAAGAGCGACGGCAGCGAGGGAACATCATCAAGTATGGAGATACAGTCCAGTTTGTTCATTCCTCTTCAGGTCTTACACTCACCATCACCAAGAAGCAAGGAGTGGACAAGGGATGCAAAGCACTGGAAATGCTCAAAGAAGGGGTTGAGAATTCAATCTTTGTTGTTCTCCCAGCCTACAAGACGTTCGGACAAGGAGAACCTGTGACATCTGGTGATCTCATTTGCTTCTACTCAGAGAAGAAGGTCGTAGGGAACATCTGCTGTCTCCATGTCTCTTCGAGGCCTCAAAACGTTACAAGCAATTTTTTGATGGATGCTCCTGTTCATGAGTTGGATGCTTCTATCTTGGACACGAATGCTACATCTTGGAGAGCTTTGTTGTTCCAATCCTCTTCAATCGCTCATGAGGTAGAGAGTTTGATCAAGGCGGAAGACGTTGTTTGTATCTATCACAAAGATGGTGAATCGTACCTCAACTACGACCCCATGCTTCTTGAAGCTCCTTTCTTTCATCTCAGGCAAAAGGTGAAGCCGGCTGATCGCAAAAAGGCAGGATGGCTGTGGAAGATTGAGGGAGAGTGTATCTACCTTGGAGGACAGAATATTGAGTGTGACGAAAGAAAGAGGTATCGTCTGAAGCATCTCATTACTGGACACTATCTCAAGTCACAAGATGGGTCTCTGACCACTGTAAAATCTTGCTCGGAAGGAACTTTGTTTTCCTTCAGGCACTTTGCAAAAGATGTTTCTTCCAAGAATGTATACAGCCACTCTCTCATCATGATTCATGGCCACGGATGGCTCTCAATGTCATACAGCGACACCAATGTAGCTGAGAGAGCAGGGAAAAAGATTCTTGGGCACAAGGCGATATCAAGAGAGTTCGATGCGATGCAGAGTGAAAGAGATGCATTTGTGCTGATGCCTGTCTCGAAGAAGTATGAGAACACCGTCAAAGAGGTGAAGCATGATATGTTCCGTGAGATTCGATTCAATTTCATCTTTGTGCCGGAGTTTTGTACTGTAACTGTTCTTGCAATTGCTCTCGCCAATGTTGTTGCTTCTTCTGTTATTGCTGCTCCTGCTCCTGCTCCTGCTCCTGCTCCTGCTCCTGCTCCTGCTCCTGCTCCTGCTATAGGTTTCGTCGATAACGATGATGATGATGACAATGATGATGATCAATCACTGATGTTAACCTGCTTCAGCTCAAAAGTGAAGTCTATACACTGATTGCCTTCCGCAATCTCCTCAACAACTGCTCGGACATCTCAAACAAGGATATGAACATGTCTGACTGCCCTTATTACCTGGAAGGCGTGCTGACATGTGTGTGTGCAGACTAAAAACTTCACAAGACGACATCCCTGTCGATATCAGGGCAATCATCAACCTGTTTCGAGATCACAGCTCGACGCTTGTGTCTGCCATCAGCAACCTTATCATTCACTGCTCTGCCGACACTGACCCCAACCCTATGACAAGAGAAGGCAGGCCAAAGACGCTGATCCAGAAGTTGTTGAGGGAGATGGACGCGCACACTATCTGTCTCGACATCCTAGAGATCCCTTTCAGCAAAGGCTTTCAATTCAGCTGGCTCAATGTCAACGACTTGACAGACGGGATGGCGCACGTGTTGCGACTTTGTCACAGGTTCATCATGAACTTCGTGAAAGAGAACGAGCCCAACGCCCAACTAGTTTACCATCGGATCGAGCTGCTGAAGGGCCAGCTGGGGAAAGGCGTGTCAGCAACCGTTGCGATCAAGGAGATTTTCTTCGAGAAGAGGAGGATTCTGAATCTGATCCGCAAGGATGATGTGAAGATCTTCATGGAGATGCTAGAGAAAGATCGCGATCCTCGCCACATCGACTTCCTCGTCTCTATCTGCACGTGCGGGAAGAACCCGATCCCTTCGAATCAATCTTTGGTGTGCGAACAACTCTACAAGGAGCACTTTGCTCTGATCCCAAAGTACAAGTGGCACATTGACGGAGGTGGAAAGAAGATGCACTTTGTACTGCCTTCGACCGGGCATGAGGAGTGGATTGATATGTCTTCTTACATGCAGAGCTCGGAAAGGTCGGCGAAGGGGTATGATTATGCCTCTTCTATCATGTTCAATCAGTACAATCTGTTAACAGAAAAGGAGAAATGCTTCCGCTACTTTCTCCGGTGCACGTCGCTGCTCAACAATCTAGTCGTTGGAAGGAACCATGAAGCGATCTCGATGGCGTTGAAGAACCAAGACTACTCCCTTACCTTTGAAGACATCTTTGACGTGATGTCCTCCCCTTACGTCCCGTCCATCATCCGCGCCAGGTTTACCAACCTCATGCTGAAGTTCCACGTTGACATCGACCCTCAAACTTCGAAACCTCAAATCTCATACACGCGCACCTGGAGCAAGGCATCGCAATCAGCGGCCGTGCTGCTCAAACAGTCGTCGACGTTGACAGGAGCCAAGAGGTGGCAGGAGAACGAAGAGACTTCACAAAAATTCCGCAAGCTGACGGACTTCCTGATTGACGCCTTGTCGACGTGGGAGGGTGAGAAGACAGCGAGAGGGTCGTCTTGGAGTTTGGATGATGCGACGTACGGGGAGGTCGACCTGATCCTCTCTTGGATCGAGCTGAGCGACTGGTTGATCGACTTCGGGTACATCGTTGAGAATCGTGACGCCCTGGATGCGGATTTCAAGCTCGTCATGAAGTTGTTTGAAGGGCTTTTCCGTGTAATCAAGGTCAAGAACTTGCAGAACAGGATGAGGGATGACAGGGTAGAGATGATGAAAATGAAGATAAGGTCCGAAACTTTCAAGCTGCTCAGCAGGATCTGCAACCTTCGGGCAAACTACCGCATCACTTGCGCTCTTAAGTGCTGGGAGGACATCTTTGACAAGATGGACGGGCAAAATGTAAATTTTCAGAAGTCGCACTTTTCCTGGACCGGATCGAACCTTTCCATGTCCTTCTCCTCGAACTCTGACTCAAGATTGAACCTTATCAACAACCTGCTCGAACAATTCCGACCTTACGATGACAGCCTCAAGGACATGCTGGAGATGATCTTCGACAAGAACATCGTCAGCCCTGAGAGCATCTCCAGTGACTTGTACAAAAAGGGCGGATACAAAGACGACGCAACTATCTCTTCCGTCCTTTCCTTCATCAGGCTGGGAGATGTTCAACTTACCGAGCAAGCTGTTGTGTTCCTCATAACTCATCTGTTCCAGCGGAACAAGTTTGTGGAGGATCTCAAGTTCCTTCAAGTCCTGGTCTACCCTGAGGCCGTCAAGCTGTACAACGAGATCAAGCACGTCATCGAGCGACTGACGGCTCTCAAAAAGACACTGGACGCTGACGAGGAGGATGCGTACGAAGAGGCGAACTCGCTGCTGCAGAAGATGATTGAGAACATCACCATTTCCAAGTCCAAGAATATCCCCAAGGAGATCGTTGCAAAGAATCAGAGGATCATGCTGAACTGGGAGCTCGACGAGCCAGTCATCGATCTGCTGAGGCTGAACATCACTACCACCTCTGATGGCGAGGATGAGGCGGTGAAGCTCAAGTCAATCGAGAGGAGGAAGAAACTTTTCCAGCGCTGCTACAACTTCCTTAAGGCCCTCGTCGCTGACCACCCCAGGGCGCAGCAGAAGCTCTTCCCGTCCATGGGAGTTTTCCTTGACCATGTTGGAGTGGAGAACTTGAATGTGTCCGACACGCTGAGGGAGATTGTGAGGAACAACCCGAGGTTGTGCTCGCAAGTGCCCGAGCACTTCTTCCGTCACTTCCTCAATGCAATCAAGAAGCACGGGAGGAACGCGAGGTGGTTGAGATTCTTTGACGTATTCCTTGTCATCAACAACTCTCCGCTCAAGAGGAGCCAGGACCTCATCCTCCGTCTCATCATGGAGGACAAGGACGATCTGATCGACCTGACCTGCGACTACCGAGGGTCCCGCTGGCTCTCGCCCACGGACTCGAGGTATGGGAAAAACAGGTTAACTCTTATGATAGAAGGAGAGCACAGAAGGGAGCTGGGTAGTCTGTTGAAGTACCACGTTGCCTGTCTTGAGATCCTAGCGCTGTGTGCGACAGGGAAGAACGTGGCGAACAAGGTTCGGATAATCCATGAGGTCTCCTTTGAGACCATCCTGTCCAACCTCCTCGACCTGAACAAGCGGGAGGACGGGAAGCGAGAGATGGTGGAGGTTGACACGCTGCACTTCGTCAAGAATGGATGGATGCATCTCATTAACGAGACGTACCTTACCTCGTACGACATCTTCGCCATCAAGCAGATTCAGAGCTCCACCAGGATCTGGCCGTCAGAGTATTATCGCACAACGCAGAAGTTTGGTGGGCTGCAGAAGGTGGGTCAGGAGACCAATGAGAACAGTCTTTTGGAGGAATTTCTGCGCACTGTTGAGTTCCTCATAACAAGGCTCAAGTCGACAACGGACACCGAAGACATCACGGCTGTGAAGGAAGACGCACACGGCTCTGACATCTCTTCGCACATCAATTATGTTGCCAGCATCATCTCTGTGCTGAAGGAGCTGTTCAAGAGAGCTGACATCTGCGACAGAGAAGTGTTGAAGCATGCTGTTTGCAAGACGATCCACGAGAAGTTGAGGTCGTCCTTCAATCAGCTGAACAAGCTGTACATCAAGACCAACAAGCTCGAAGAGTCGAGGAATGTCGTGGAACTCTTGACCCTCCTAAATGAACGCGGCATCCTCGGAGAGGAGTTTGACCTGCCCCCTGAAGAGGAGGAGGAGGACACGAAGCCCAAGAGCAAAGAGATGAAGTTTCAGGAAGGGTGGGGCAACTACTGCGAGGTGCTCGCGAACATGCTGCAACTTGACAGCAGGACGGAACTGCTGCAGGCTGATGCGATTAAGGACTTTGCGAGGGCAATAGTGCACGACATCACTTGCAAGGGAGGAAACTACAAGGTCGTGCAGGAATTTTGCCGGATTCTTACGTCCAAGACGTGCGAGCCTTCAGTTCAGACCATCGGCCTCAAAGTCCTTCGCGCTATCATCTACATGAACCCGGCGGCGCAGGACGAGGATCAGCAGGAGAAGAGCTTCAACGACATGCTTCTCAACCTCGACCCCGACGACAAGATGCTAGAGGACGAGAGCTACTTGGAGCTGCAGGCCAGGGTCGCCAAGGCCGGGGGGATCAACGTGATCATGCACTTCCTTGCCTTCTCCACCGACACCTCCATCCTCCACTCGTGTTTGTGCTTCGCCAACGCGCTGCTGCATGGAGGCAACCGGGAGGTCCAGGACACGTTCGCGAAGCCCTTGACCTCCTCCTCCAGCCAGCACCTGTTCGGTCAGATCTTCAAGATCTTTCAGGATGCTGTAGACGGGATCAAGGAGGTAAGGAAGAAGGCGAAGCAGGAGGATGCAGAGCGAGCACTGTCAAAGAAGCGACTGAGGTCTAAGGCAAAGAGCGCACTAGCTGATGCGTTCGGAGAATCTCAGCTCCTCATCACGGAGGTGAAGACATGACCCCTTCCTACCTGTCGTTACTATACCCCTTCCCTCTTCTTTCTCCCTTCCTCTGAGTGTGTTTGTTTTTGCTTCTACATTCGGTCAGTGAGCTGATCGTTTTTTCTCTTCCAGGTGATGAAGATGATGAGAAGATTGTGTATGGGGCAGAACCAGGAGCTGCAAGACATTTTCAGGGTACAGAGTCTCAACAAAACTTCGGTCAACTTTCTTGAAGAAGTTGTCAAATATCAGATCGTTCTCGAGCCGGTGGTTTCCTACTCCGGCCTTACAAACTCTCTCTTCGCTCCTTTTGCTTCTTCTCCCTTTCTTTCCATCCTTCTCCGCTCCTTCTCCACTCCACTCCTCCCCCACACCCCCTTTACTTCTTCTCCTCTTCCTTCCTCTCCTCCTCTTTCTCCTCCCTCTCGTCTTCCACCAAACTTTGTCAACGTCCTTACCAAGGCTGCAGGAGCTCAAGGAAGCGATTCAGAAGGGAGATTTTGTCCTCGCAGAAGCAGCGATCCGCGGCTTCCTTATGCTCGCCGACGCCATGCACGGCCCCAACTACCACAACCAGGAGGCGATCGCAACCGCCGACTTCTTCGACCTCTGCGACCGGATCTTCCACAAGATCCGCTTCGAGGAGAAAGAGATGAGCGCTCCCCTGCTCAAGAGACGAAGTTCTACTATGAGCCGTGTGTTCCCCGACGAGGCGACGGAGGCGGACAAGAATCAGATCCGGTCGCGGCTCAAGGTGTCGGTGATCTCCTGCATCTACGCGCTGCTGGAGGGAGTGCAGGGGGAAGTGATACCTCAAAGGATGCTGACAACCGTCTCGTGGACGGCCATGGTGACTCAAATGAACTTCTGCTACGACCTGAGGGAGAAGAAGATCGGGGTGGAGGAGGAAGACATTGTGCGGGAGGGTCTCATCTACTACTTCGTGCTCAAGTTCGTGAGGGAGTACGACAGGACAGGGACCATACAGGATGCGCTCGTAACGGCTCCTGCTGCCGCCAGGTTCTTCGAGCAGAGGACGGGATACGTGGAGATACAGCGGGCAGGGCGATTGGAGAGGATCTTCTTCCAGCTGCCTGACAAGTGCATCGAGGGAGGGCCGCTGGACGATGACTTCCTTGAGATGTACGACACTGAAAGGGAGGATCCGGACAAGAAGAATCAGAACTTCCTCGAGAACGCATGTAAGATCGTTGCGCAGGAGGAGTTTCACTCTAACTTGAGGAAGACGGCGTTCTCGTTCACGATCAACAAGTGGGACCTGATCTGCAAGCTGACATACTTTTGGGTCCTGATTCTCCATGGTGTGATGGTCCTTGGGAGTTACGCGCCCAACCACGTCATGTCCGGGTTGACATCGTTCGAGATTTTCCAGAACATCACGAGTGATGTGGATACTGCTACCTACAACGACAGCTACTTCTACTTCAAAGTCCTCCCGCAGATCAAGGATGTTGCCAAGTACATGTGCATCGTCAACCTGGTGCTCTGTGCCATCCGGCTGCTTTCCTTCATCATCGCTCACGTTCCCATGATTGTGATCGAGCGACAGAACACTGAAGAGGAGCAGGAGGAGGAGCAGGAGATGCAGGAGATGCAGGAGCTCGAGATCTCGAACTCGGGCGGGGAGAACGAGACCTCGCAGGAGGACGTGGAGGAGGTGGGGGAGGTGGGGGAGGAGGAGAAGGAGACCTCTGGAGATGCGGAGGGGAAGGGTACAAAGAAGAAAAAGAAGAGGAGGAGGAGGAGGTTCCGACGCAGTGGCGCCGTCAAGTTGGCCTTGATTGTCATGTCTTCCGGATCGTTCATATACGAAGTCTTCTTCTTCCTCTTCGCCCTGGCAGCCGTCATTTCTGATGCTCCTCTGTTCACCACCTTCACTTTTCTCGAGGTTGTTTCCTCCCTCCCTCCTCCTCTGCACCGCTCCCCTGTCCTCCTCTCCTCCCTCACCCCGGCGCTGATTCCGAGCACCTTCTAAATCGGTTCAAGGTTGACTTCGGTGGTTACAGGTATTCTTCTTCAACTCTTCCAAGACTGTCGTGGATGCGATGAAGTTCAAGGCCTTTGAAATGTTAAACACGTTCGTCATCGGACTTGTCTTCATGTACATCTGGATGGTCATCGGGATGTTGACCTTCGAAGAAATCCATCAGGACGGCGACGGGAACTACATCTGTGTTAACATGTTTCAGTGCTTCCTAGCCTACATCTTCATCGCCATGCGCGGAGACGGAGTAAGGGATGTCACCACCAGCCCGACGTTTCCCACCAACATCGTCGACGCCTTCTCTTATCCCAGCTACTTCCTCCTGCGACTGCTATGGGACTTGCTCTACCAGGCGAGAAAGATGGAAAAGGAGAGGAAGGGAGGGGAGGGTGAAGGAGAGGGTTGAGGGAGGAGGAGGAGGAGGAGGAGGAGGAGCTAAAAGCGTTTCTGCAGTGGCTGTTCATCTACGTTCTGCTCGCCATAATCACTGGAATTGTCATCGACGCCTTCAGTGGTCTCAGAGACGAGAGAGAAACGGCTGAGAATGACCTCAAGTCGACCTGCTTCATCTGCAACCTTGAGAGGTTCAGAATAGACCAGGTTCGTGTCAAACTCCTCTCCTCTCCTGCTCTGTGATCCTCCTCCTCCCCTTCCCATTTCCTTCCTCCAACTCCTCCAACTCCTCCTCCTCCTCCTCCTCCTCCTCCTCCTCCTCCTACTACTACTACTACTACTACTACTACTACTACTACTACTACTACTCCTGATACTACTCCTTCAAATCCTCCTCCTCTTGCTTCTCGATCAAGCTCACTACTACGTTCACTCTTCTACCCACCTCCTGCCCACCATCTCTCTGCAAGTTTTCATCTTTTCGTCCTCCAATTGATCGTCCTCATCAGAACGGTAGCGGCTTCGAGAAGCATATTCGGCAGGAGCACAACCCGAGATGGTACCTTTTCTTCCTGATCTACATCAAGTCGAAGCAACCCTCCTACCTTACTGGCCAGGAGAAATTTGTATACAATCAGGTCCCTTCAAGCTCTTTCCCCCCATCTGCCCTTCCCTCCTCCTTTTCACTGATCCTTCTCTCCTCCCTGTCCCTGTCCCTTTGTTCCTCCCTCTTCTTCCTCCCCCTCGTCTTCCCCCTCCTCTTTTTCTCGCTTTATGTCACCTCATCTGTTTGCTCAGTTGCTGATTGCTGCAAACAGGTATGGCCAGCAAAAGGTCCCTTGCATTTCGACTGGCTGCCAAGGTGAGCAGAGGAGGAAGAGGAGGGGGACGAAGAGGAATAGGAAGAGTCTGAATGTGTGTGAAGGGAGAGGACGTTTCACTTAAGCGGAGGGGATGAAGGAGACGACACGCTTTCCAAGGTATTCGTCGAGGAGGAGGAAGGAGGAAGGTGACTGAAGCTTTTGTAGATTGAGAGCAGGATGGACTCTTTCGAGGCGAAACTCGCTGGCTGCATGGAAATTCTCAAGGAAATTCAGGTAGAGCGACGACATACCCGACATGTCTCACCTTTCTACCAGGAGAGCTTGCAGAACGAGAACAAAGACTAAGAGGAAGATGTTGAGCGGCATGGATTGGCAGACTAGCCCTCTGTAACTAGTAAGTCTGTTGTTTGTGTATTAAAGGATTCTTTCATTTGAGCTCTTTGATGTCATCGAGCTTCATGCAGACTACCACTCCTCCTCCGACGTCGGTGCCGCAGCTGTGATAGTCGTACACACACATGCCGCTCTCTCGAAAGCTTCCAACAACTATGGGACACCCATGAAGCAGCTCGTCTCTGCATCTTGTGTTGGTCCAGCTTTGCTTGCCCCCTTCCTCTTCGCTCGTCTCCTTCAACAGCCTCTCTCCTGTGCTCGCGTACCATAGCACCATAGTGATCACCATCTCCAACGCCGTCGGCATCTTGTACGGGCTGTTCTGGAGGTATGACGCGCCCTGAACGAGCTTGATGTCCTCTGGCTGCACCAGCTCCACCTGCAGCGCTCGCGCCAGCGCCTGCTGGTCCTGGTAGAGCTTGTTGGTGCTCCTGGGAAGGATATCCTTTGCGATGAGGATCCAGTAGCAGGCCTCGGGGCCCTCTAGCCCGCGCTGCGCCTTCATCTTGTCCCAGTAGTATCTGATGCTGCAGGCGTTCCCTTCCTTGGGCGCCTGCATCACCTCCGCCATGAGGTTCATGCACATCCTCCTGCTGTTGAGGGTGGAAGGAACCAGCACGAGAAGGTGGGTCTCGCAAACTTTCTTTCCTTTCCAGATGGGGCAGGAGGCGCCCATGAGCGCCTTGATCCTCCTAGGTAGCGCCGGCTCGTCCGGCACCAGTCCAAAGTACCTCCCCCATTCCTCCTTGCCGAACTTCGCCCACGCCATGCCGCCTGCCCCCGGTTCCTCCTTCCCCATGGTAGCCAATGAGCGGCCAATGAGGGGATGAGGGGACAACGGGAGCTGATAGGGGATGAGGGGGACAACGGGAGCCTGTGGCTAACGTTCATGGGAGGGAGGGAGAGAGGGAGGGAGGGAGAGAGGGAGGGAGGGAGGGAGGGAGGGAGGGAGGGAGGGAGAAGCAGGCAGCCTGGATGGCTCATGATGTTCATGCCGGCATTTTCGTGATGCTCTGAGGAATTGAGGGGATGATAACGCTATCCGCTCGTCTCACCATGATCACAGGCAGACAAGGACAGAGTTGACCAACCTGCGATGATCTTCAGCCATTGCTGACACCTTCATCCCCCTTGAAATGCTCGCGGCGAGCAAGAAGATCGGACGTCTGCTCGTGCTGCTGCTGACCACCTACCCTCTGCTGGCTGAAGCTGGCGGCAGGTAAGGAGGTGAGAGGGTAGTGCCTCTACTCAACCAAGGGAGCAGGAGGGCAGGAAGTGGCAGGCGATGCTTGTCTGCTCTGGTAGAGCCACCGACCATCGGTCAGTGCACAAACTTGTTCATCAAGGCGGTGGAGTACCGAGCATGCGTGAGCAACGAGAGCGAAGTGCAAGCCAAGGTGTGAGAGAGCGGGAGGATGAAAATATGAGAATGTCTACAGGCGACAGCAGCAAGAACAAAGCTCTCAGTCTCGGATCTGAGCGTGTACGTCAACCTGGCACAGAGTTTCCTCAACCAGCAATGCCGCCTTATGTGAGGAGCTGTTGACTGTCTTGATGCTTCGTGACTGACTTGTACATAGCTGGCAGAACTGGGTAAGAGGACAACCTTCTATTTGTACGATGACCTTGAGGCAGGTCACTCCTCCGTACTTCGTCTACACGTGCTATGGTGGCACCAAGAACTTGCAACCCTGCAACGGCCCTGAAGATCACTTCACATGTAGCTTTTCATCGCTTTTTTGGTTGATCTTGATGAGAAAATTTCTGCAGGTACCTTAGGTACATGTATACAACTGCAGCAGAACCCCAACTGGCCGGTGAAGGCCTCAGCTGTACTTGCCTCGTGTGAAGCCATGCAGGTCAATTGGTGGAACATGATCCAAACTAGTCAGTTTGGGGGGATACCAACCACTCTCTACAACGTGAGAAATCCTGATGCTGAAGCTGAGAGACTGAAGTTTCTAGCAGACGAGACAATGGTATTGCCCTTCTCAGCTGGAGTATGAGCTGGGAACAGTGTCTCTCGGATCAGTGACGGAGACGGTTTACGCTCCTTCCTCGAACCCCTGGATCTTGAGCGAGTGCGACTTGGTGGACAGGTGGGGAGATGAGGGGCAGACGCTTTGCCGTGACGTCCTTGACAGGTTCGGGCTGCCGCTGCCGAATGCTGACGCTCAGTGCGAGAACGTGACGGACACAAACCCTGTAGGGGAGAGGCACAAGCTAGAAGCGGCTCTAACGTCAGCCTTAGGTGAAGGACCAGTGCTGCGGCTACTGCGTTCTCAACAACGCTCATCTCATGCGCATGTGGAACTGCACGGCGTTAGGAGACCTCGCGCATGACCCTGTTGGCTTGAACGTGGGCACATGCTCGGCAATCTGCTGGACTAGAGCTGAAGCTTCTGCAGGCCCTCGCCCAGTACTGTCGCTTGGGAGGCTGCAAGGAGACTCGTCCATGCCTAGGGAGTCCTGTGAAGATGGGAGACCCCAAGGTGAGCGACAAGGACAGACGAGGCGACTCGAGTGCTGACGCTGTTGGCGCGTCTGCCTCAGACTCTGCTGAACCCCCTCAGTTATGCCGTGCAGTGCGATCAGCTCAACTCAGGCTGTCAAGATCAAGTGTAAGTTCACGTGCTGGTCAGGCCGAAGGTCATGATGGTGAGCAGGTGTAAACTACGTTCGGCATGTGATAACAGGATTGAAGCTCTGCGATCTCGTTTAGGATATGGCCTTTCCGCCGCATCCAGCCATTCTTATTCTTTTCTATTTGTACTGTATTTTCCGCTAATGATTATGTCATACATGAATATTTGAAAGCACTAAGCAAGGAACAAGTCTTCTGCCTCTTCGGCCTCGTTCTCCACAGCAGACTCGTACCTGCAACCTTGTTATCGCAATCGAGCTGAGAAGCAAGTCGTACGGGGCGATGTTGAAGTAGTCAGCGTATGCTCTGCTCATCTTCAACTCGATGTCACGAAGCGTCATTCGCATCTGATCTGAAACTTGAAAGATTTCTTTCATTCTCGAGTTCTCGTCGTCGATCTTGGCTTTGCATTCTTCTTCAAGCTCTTTTCTTGCCTGCGATAGCGGTCATGTTATGCTGAGCACGACTATGTGTGTGAATTACAAGCTCGTACTCTCGGAGCCTTGACAGCTCGGTTTGAATCTTTGACAAGTTGCTCTCCGCGCTCAGTCTCAGAACCTGCGATCCGATCAACAAATCGAATCTCGACTGACATCCTACCTGATCTTCACGCCTCCCAGCTTGCTCTTTGAGAAACAACTGCTCCAGGCGGTTCTTCTCTTCCTCGTGCCGTTTTTTGAGTTCCTGAAGCAACGGGTGTAGCAGTCAGGCATCTTTCAGCAAGGTGCAATCAAGACGACCTCTATGTACTCCTGCAAACAAGCAAGCGTCAGTTGCCAGGCCACGAGCTAGCAGAGCGACTTTACCTTCCTCAGACGCTCTTTCTCCTTCTGCCTGTTCATTTCCTCGGCGAGCTCAGTTTCTCGCTGCTGCAGAGGATGCAGCTGGATCTCGGATTCTCTTCTCGCCTTCAGCATCATCAGAGGAGTCAATCAGCGTTTCTTAGCGTCGCTGCACCTGCTCTGCTTTACGAAGAGTTTCACTGAGGTTTGCTATTTCTTCTGCGTTCGCTCCCTGTAGCGCTTCGATCTCCTCCTCACGTCTCTGCGCGCTCTCGCGCTCCTGTTCCAACGAGATCGCACATGATCGTCAGAGAACAAACAAAAAGGAAAAGGAGGAGGACAACCTGTTGCAGCATCTTCCTCAACTTGTCAAGTTCTTCTCTACCTTGCGAGCATTGAGCCAGCGCTTGTCGGAGTTGCAACCTTGCCTGAGATGAGTTTCAGAAGAGCTTCTCAGCACAACAGCATTTCAACATCATCAATATCATCATCCATTGATCGCGTCGGCGAGATTCCGTTGAGATACTCGGCAGTTCCGCGTATCAGAGTGCTTTCATAGCGGTAGTTCTCTGACCCTTCTCTCCTCTCGAAAGTCAACCGCACTCGTGAGCCCTGGGGTCCGAGGATGAGGCCTCGCAATGTTGAGAGAGGTTCGCCGATGACCTGAAAAGGAGATCAATGAAGAGCTGGGACAAGAAGCGCATGCCAACATCTCTGTCATCCACGGCAAGAATCATGTCGCCAACTCTCACAGATCCCTCGCGTTCTGCGGATCCTCCGCTCACGATAGTCTTGACGTATACCGATCCATCGTTCTCCTGCTGAAAGAAATACCTACTCCCGCTTGTACTGCAACATGAGGAAGAAGAGTAAGAAAACATCTCTAGATCCCATTCACAAAACATTTTGATTCGCCATGTTGTCTTATGAGGATGATTGAAATCTGGTGGCATTATTGGGTAACAAAACAACAGCACACTCACATCGAACATCAACCTATTAACAACCTTATCTATCTCAAAGTCGTTACTGTGTTCTCAAGCAGTTAGAACAAAAGGAATCTTTTGCAAACTATCTCAGAGGCCTTCATTTCATTTTGTAAATTTGTTACAAGCATCCTTCTCATTGCTATGCCCAACCTCCCACCTCCACAAAAGAAACGTCAAGCTACAAGCTTTTGAATCTCATATCTTCAAAGCACCGTGAAACATCATCTTTGTTGCAAACAAAAAAGCAAGCCACCTCGTCTACTCACACCCTGGTCTACTTCACCTTGGTGATCGTAAATACCTTTTCAATCACCATCCTCATCGCTGCTATAGGATGAACATCATCAAGAGCATCATCATCGATTTCGTGAGCATTGTCATCGTCTCGCTTACCGATTCCTGACTCCATTACCGCATCTCGTCCACTTGCGCTACCTCCGTACATGTTTGAGCAGTAGCCAATGACCCCACCCCCTGCAATTCCAGTCTTGTCGTTTCTAGGCTGACTGCGTGACCGCTTTCTCCTGAGTATGGCACATATCCTTCTGGCATTATGGCAAGAGACTCAAAATCTCTACCTTACGCTGGAAGGCTAGAGAGGCCAATCTTGTTTCTAATACCACCCCCTTCAACCCCCACCTGGCTACACCACTACCCCCCCGTTGCCCCTTTAGTAGGATAACGGTAGTCAAGGTCCGCGTTCGAACGACAAACTAAATCTTGTTGAGCTAAACCAGAGGGTTTAGTCAAGTAGTGTAGTACTGAACCAACACAGATAACGGCCCGGGCCGGGGCGCGGGAGTCACCGTGACCCCAAGTTAACAATTTTACTCGGCGGCCCAGGCCCCGGGCATGTTGGCACTTCGAGTAAATCTGCAGGCAGCGACCACGCGGGCCTCTTTACTTATTCAGAGTCACTGAATTCAAACCAGAACCGACTCAGTAGATGGCGGGAGTCCAGCCCATGGCCACTGACGTTCAACCGTTCCAAAACTTTCGAAGACGCGCCGGGCAGGTGGAGGACTAACGTCTGTACCGATAGCGCTTGAAGTTGAAGTAGAGGTGAAGAATTCCTCTGCAGAGCAGGTCAGATCGCAAGAGACGGTAGGAAGTCACCTGTCGAAAGTGCACTTGAAGCCTTTCTTGTGCGAGAACTCCCACTCCTTGTTCACAATGCGAAAACTGCGGGGAAGGATGAGGAAGACATTCGATCACAGAGAAATCAACGCACGCCAAGTCCTCGTAGGGGGGGCCGGCCGAGAAGCGAAGGATCTTGGTCTCCGGGTTGTTGTCGGCCTCGAGCTTGAAGACCGGAGTCTTGGTCTTGTCGATGAGATCAGGATAGAAGATGTTGAACTTGTAGCCCTGCCGCGAGTTTAGAGAGCAGCCTACAAGTCAAGAGACGTCAAGGCTTACTTGAACGATCTTTGGTGGAGGATTGTCTTGATCGTAATGAGTCTGTTGGAGAGGTGAGAATCGAGTACAGCAAGACGAGGACGCGCAAAGTGGAGAGGAGGAGGACAAAGGGAAGAGAAGATGAGCAAAGAGGACAGACGAACCTGGTTGTACTTGTTCCACTCGTAGCCGGTGTGAACGCGGTTGAAGAATCTCGGTTTGCGAGGACGGTACTTATCATGCCAAGAGTAGACCTGGTCGACTTACACATGAGATGACGTGGGAGAAATCATGAGAGCCTGACTTGATTGTCGAGGGAGATCTCATCAGTGAAGACCGCCTCATCCTCTTCGAGTGTCTTGTCCATCGAGTCATAGAGCTGCGGGCAGTAGTCACACCGTTTGCACTTTGGTGAATCTGCAACACCTGATCCTCCATGCTCCTGCTCTTGACTTCTCTGAACTTGTTCGTCTCCGCCTCCAAGACAGCCTGCAGCATCATGACGATTGTGATGATCGCCGAGCAGGAAAACCTTGCGCTTCTGCTCAATTTGCTGCTTGTCTTCTGCCTCGTCGACCGCTGGAAGAAAAGTCAGTCTGGCTGTCTCGTTTTCTTGCATCTTACCATCATCACCGCGGTAAGACCGATCCAAGACAGGACTGACGAACCCTGTCATTGAAAAAGGGAACAGAAAGTAGCAACACCTGAAGCTTCCTTGGTTGTCGCTCTCCTCTCCTTCGCTTGCAGCCTCCTCCTTGTCATCCTCCTTCGAACTCTCCTGCACAGCAGCACCTTTCATCATCATCCCAGCATCATTCCTCGTCTCTCACCTTCTCCTCCATCCTTGGACCTGCCGGCTTAAGAGCCACAGTATGAACCTGCGACTCGAGGGCGCTGAGACGCCGACGGAGGATCGACTGATGGATCTCCTTGAGCGTCGCCTTGGCCTTGGCGACCACGATCCTCCTCAGACAAGTTTCCCAGAACTCCGTGTCGGAAGCCGAGTCACCCTCCAGCATGTCCTTGATCTCCTTCTCCTGCTCTTCCAGCTCCCTCCTGCTTTTGCCTTGGAACATCTTAACAATGTCAGCATGCACAGCAGCATGGACGCCGTCGAGATAATGCCCGCTCCTTCCCTCGGCTGCCCATGCTGCTTGACGACGAGCATCCTGAAGGAAAAGTGAGTTGAGGACAAGAAAGAAGTGAGGGAGGACTTACCTGAAGCTCATCCTCGCACACCGTAGTCATGCACTCCCAGAACAATACGTTCTCCATGTCGAGATTGCGATACATTTCTATGTCCCTCTCTAGCTCCTCCAGAGCAGCAATCTGTGTGTGAACGGAGTGAGACGAGGAGTGAAGGAAGATGACTCTGATCAACAGATGAGACGGACGCGAGGGCGCGAAACGATTCAGAGGGGGGTTAGAGGGAGCGAAAGGATCCAACCTGAAGGCCTTTGAAAAGCTTGTACGGCTCCGTCATTTCGACCTGCGGAGGAAGTCAAGAATGCCTGTGGTGGTCGATGGGATCTCACCTCCATGTTGTCTTCGATGAGATTCTTTGCCAAGATGTCAATGGGTCTTGCGCGACCTTCCTTGAGCCGAATCTTTGAACGGATCTTCGCTTGCTCCAAGTGAAACTTATCCGCGTTTCTCTCCCATTCAGCATGTTGCTGGTCTTCTTGCTGCCTCTGCATTCTCGCCTTCTCTTCTTCCAGCCATGCCTGCTCTCGCTCTCTTTCTTCTCGCCTTTGCTTCACCTGTCAACAACTAAGAAGAAGTCAAGAGGGTCAATGGGTCACCTTTTGCACTTCATCTTCGATCATTCGCTTCCTCTCATCCTCATGGCGACGACGTTCTCTCTCTGACATCTGCTCGTAAGGCTTGTATCTGTGATCACGCGAGGTCTGGACAGTTTCTTCCTTCTTGTGCCAACGAAACTGCTGTGTGATGTTGCTATCTCCAAAGCGATTGTTTTCATCCGTGTAGCTAATGGCACACAAACAATCTTAACAACGCACATCAAGTCGTATGAGGAAATACCCGCAGATTGTATTTCTTTCTTCTTCCTTCAACCGTTTAAGAGCCCTTGCATTGTTCAAGTTAGAATCGTTTTCTTTACACAGCAAGCAATCTACTTCTTGGCAAGACGACGATTCATCTTTTCCTCTCTGGTCCTACAGCAACGGATTAGAGACTAATTGTACCTTGCAAGCTGTAAAGCTTACTCTGCCATTTTGTGAAGCTTTTTTGAGTCCCTGTCCCTGTCCCTGTCCCTGTCCCTGTCCCTGTCCCTGTCCCTGTCCCTGTCCCTGTCCCTGTCCCTGTCCCTGTCCCTGCTCCTGTCGCGCTCCCTGCTCCGATCTCTTCCTCTGCTTCTGTCTCGTTCCCTGGAAAGCATGGTGAGAAGTTTTCAGACAGGATACATTTGTTCACCGATCATCGCTTCTCCTTCTGTCGTCTCTTCCCATCTTGTCTCGATATCGACCTTTGTCCAGTGTCACTAGAGGTGTTAGCGCTGTGGATTCAAGGTTGACCCCCATTGTATCTCCTCAACAGTGACCGTTAACTCCCATAACAACCACGAGGGAGTCCAGGATCGGTATGAAGGTATCAAACACATTAATTCCTCTATCCTTGACTTTCTCTACTTTTGATTGTTGTAAATGCTCATCATTTTGTGATCTTCCTGCCTACCGTGTCCTCTTTGTGACATGTACATAGCATACAATCTGGCTCTTCCTCCTCCTGCACCTTCTGCTCTCCTGCCTCTCTCTCTCCTTGTATCATCTCCTCCCTTTCCTCCCTCTTTCTCCCCTCCTCCCCTCCCGCCTCCTCCCGCCTCCTCCCGCCTCCGCATTCTCCTCCAAACATTCTTCCCCGCCTATGAGCTCGTGCTTGCCATGGCAGCGGCAACAGTATGAATGAGGGTGATGAAACTTTTCTCAGAAACAAGGGGGTTGGGGTGGTACTTCATTAGGTGAATACTGGAATTGTAGGGATAATACAAGGAAATCGAGGCGGGTAATAGGGGTCATTGAATGGGAAGGAATCATAGTTGGGTGGGGTAGTCTACGTAATGCAGGAAGAGACGAGTTGAGGTCGGTAGCCGAGGAAGAGGAGGGCAAGAACGTAGAACGAGGAGGGCCACTTTTAGTCGGGTAAGAGCAGGGCGAGGAGTGATAAGCAGTGTAAGGAAGCGTAAGGAAGAGGAAGAGGATGGAGAAGATGAGGGTAGAATGCAGAAGTTCCTCTGATATGATTCGCCTTGAGCGGGCATGCAGGTCAGATGATTGTCAAAGCAAAGCATGAGGGCATATGTTTGAGGAGAAAATACTCTCATAATGAAACCCCTACATGTTCTCTAAATCATTCTGACGCACGTGTCCTACCAGTGTGAATCTGAGGACATGATCTCGTTCTCTTGACCAGTTTAAGTTGCTTCCGAGCATGCTGAGCTATCTCGCTGCTAAGGGCATCACTGTTAGCCAACCCTCCATTGCTGGCATCGGTCTTGTGCTCGACATCCGCTCTCGCAGCGCTCAGAATGCGGTCAACAAGCTCCAACGGAAGCTTGAGTTCCTTGTGGAGTCTGGAGAGACGGCAGGACAGGTTCGGCATGCCTCCTCGCCCCCTCCTCCTCACACTCAGCAGGAGATGCAAGAGATCGGGGCGTCCAACGACCCTGACGTGGACAATCTTCGGAAGCAGCTAGGTCAGGCCATGGTGGAGCTTGAGGCGTCGAGGGAGGACGATGCGATAGTGGTGGAGGATGTGATCGAGGACGGTCCTGCCCATCGCAGCAACAAGTTCTCCGTGGGTGAGTCAAGGAACCTTGCTGCTCTCGCCCTCCGGTTGGCTGAGACTGGCTGCTCAAGGTGACCGCGTGCTGCAAGTCGACGGGACCCCAGTTGGTTCGTCTTTCACCCTCTTGTCGCGTCTCGTGACTCCCTCTCTCCTCTCTCCTGCATTTCGCCATTTTTTCATTCCGAGCTGTACTTTTCACTCCATGCTTTCACTCCATTCCTCCTCTCTCCTCTCCTCTCCTCTCCTCTCCTCTCCTCTCCTCTCCTCTCCTCTGCTTTAATCTACTCTTCTCTACCCTACCCTACTCTACTTTCCCCTCTCCTCCTTTCTCTCATCTCTCCTCTTCCCTCGTCTCCTCACTCTTCTCTTCTCTCTTCCTAAACCTGGCATGAAGAGGAGCTTGCAGGGGTGAATCTTGACTTGTGTGGGAATCTTATAAGAGGAGAGGAGGGCGCTAGTGTCAAGGTTTCGATCAAGAAAGCAGAAAGCAGCGTGATCGAAGACATCGTTATCGTGCGAGGGACGGTGAGACGCAAACAGAGCGGGTGGAAGAGCAGGAGGAGACGAAACTTGCTGTGGGGGGGGGGGGGCAGGAGGGAACAGGGGGAGCAGGAACATGTAGAGGAGCAGGAGCAGGAGCATGTAGAAGAAGAGCAGGAGCAGGAGCAGGAGCAGGAGCAGGAGCAGGGAGCAGGAGCAGGAGCAGGGAGCAGGAGCAGGAGCAGGAGCAGGAGCAGGAGCAGGAGCAGGAGCAGGGGTAGGGGCAGGAGAAGGAGCAGGGGCAGGATGCATGAAATGCGAATGAATAACTTGGCAGGTCTCAGCCGTCAGCGCACAGCAGAGTCGGAAAGGAGGGTTGTTCTCGTGGTAGAGCTTCTTCAATCTGTACAATAAACCACCAGCTTCTCTCTCTCCCTCATACCCATCACACTCTACGCCCCAACGGCCCCGACCCCCACTCTTCCTCCTCCTGCTCCTTCGTCCTCCTCCCCATCCAACCCCCGTCCTCCCGATCCCGCTCCTAGCAATTCCACCCCCTTGTCCGTTTTATCCTGGTCCCCTTTGCCCTGACTACGCCCCCAAGTAAAATGGAGGGGCATGGTAGGGGTGAGCGAGGGAGGGAGGAGGGAGGAGGAGGAGGAGGAGGAGGAGGAGGAGGAGGAGGAGGAGGGCAAGACAGTTCAGACATCTTGGTGTTGTTCGAAGGAGAAGCGTACAACGTCGGAGCATGGGCGGTGGAGCACCCAGGAGGGAGTGAGGTTCTCCGGAGAAATCGAGGGCGGGACATCACAGATGTCTTCAAGAAGATCGGGTATGTCGCTTGCTCTCCGTGCCTCCTTGTCTCCTCCTCCTGAAACTCATTGCTGCTTTCGCAGGCACTCGGATCGAGCATGGCAGCTTCTGCAAAGCATGAAGGCACCTGATGTAGCCGCCAGCAAAGTGAAGGCTTCTCAGGAAACGATGGTTCCTCCTCCTCCCGCCTTCGTCTCTCACCAGAAGAAAACTTTGCGGTGAGGAAGAGAACTTGTGTGGGCAGGAGATGAGCGTCTTGCTCAGGCCCCCTCCTGTTATGCAGTGATTGCGGTAGAGGAGGAGAAAAAATCACCTGGTGCGGAGATGGCGAATGAGCAAGGGAAGGGGTGGGGAGAGAAGGGGTGAGACAAAGGTGCGAGAGAGCGGGGGAGAGGCAGAGGCAAAGGAAGAGGAAGAGGCAAAGGAAGAGGAAGACAAAACGAAGACGAAGACGAAGACGAAGACGAAGACGAAGACGAAGGCGAAGACTAAGACGAAGACGAGGAAGAGGAAGAGGAAGAGGAAGAGGAAGAGGAGGAAGAGGGAAAGAGTTACAGAAGAAAGGGGAGGAGGGAGGAAGCAGCGAAGTGCAGAAAAAAGGTTAAGAAATCATTTACTGAGGCTTGACTTCAAACATGTCCATATGTACACAAGTATTAAAAGAATAACAAGACAGGAGTTATATCTTTAGCCCATCATGCCTTCCGGGCCAACTCTCCAGGTTCTCGAAGTCTATCTCCTCTAGTCGCTCAACAACGCGATGGTACTGCGCCTCGAGCTCTGGGAACAAGGTAGAAATTCTCTTCCATAGAGGTTGTAGGACCTGAGAATAGTTTAAGACGTTTGTACCCTCCACTTCACGTCCCTCATCCTCCCACTTCTCCTCCTGCCCTCGCTCATGAACTTTCCCCTCTCCCTTCCGCTTTCTTCCTTCTTCCCCCCTCGCTCCTTCCTGCCCTCTCGTTCCTCTCGTCGCTTACGTAGTGCAGGAATCCGAGCTGCGCTTTCGCCTGTGCCAGCGGCTCATGCAGACCCTGCTCGCGTGATTAATGATTCTCCTCCTCCAGGTTCGATTCTGGACAACAGAGAAGAGAGAGCAACAGGCAGAGGAGGAGGAGGAGGAGGAGGAGATGATGATGATGATGATGATGATGATGATGATGATGAATACCTTCATAAAAGCTGTCTCCGGCAGACTTTCCATGCGTTCTCGCATCGATTGATTGTGAAACTCTTCCAGCACCTGCACAATTCGTGAGAAGGAAAGTGAGAGAAAGGAGAGAACGTAGCGGTGGAGAAGAAAAGGAGGTGGGGGGTGGGCACAGGAAGGAGGCAGAGAGGAGAGGAACAGTCTTACTCCTCTTCCAAAGGTGTACGCTACTTCCTTGGGGAGAGACTGGCCCGAGAGATCAGACGCATGCACTATCGCCTGCTTGCAGTATTAGCTCCTGCCCACCCTGCACCCGCCTCCTCCTCCCCTTGCCTCCCATCCCCCCCGCCCCCCCCGTTTCCCCTCCTCTCCCTCCCACTCATTCTGAATCTAACCCTCATCAGCTCCCGTCGATCCTCCGGCTCGTTTGCGTCATACGCTGCTTCAGCAGGACTTGCTACATTCATCGCCTTCTTGCCCTGTCGGGACTTGCATTCAACAAGATGTAAAGGAGAGAGGTGGATCGAGGAGACAAGCTTGAGTCGTGGAGAAGAGAGACAGAACAACGAGGGCACGAGGGAAGAAGTGAAGGAGGGCACGAGGGAAGGAGCTAGAGTGCAAGGGAAAGAAGGCAGGGCCAAGGAGAGGGCGAGGAGGAGGGGGGAGTTGAGCGCGAGCTGGGGTACTCACCTCTGCAGCTTCTATCCTCCTTGAGAGGCCATCGACGACTCGCTGATGAGTGTGCATGTCCGTCGCCATGATCCCCTCATGCACCAAGTCCAACACCTGAGTGAGGCAAGGCATGTCATGTGAGAAGTCGTGAACACGTGAGCAGACGTTCAAGTCGATCTCATGTGCACTCACAGTTTGTTTCTCATCTTCGCTTGCATTGAGCAAGATGTCGCAGTCACAACTTGCCTGCAGGAGTTTCTTCGTCGAGTTCCAATGCATGTGTTCTAACACCTGAGTCAAACTTGGCGTCAGCTCGCAACCGCAACCAACTCTGCCGTCTTCACATTGGGAGCAGGAAACTCTAGCGCCATGGGAGCTGCGCTCTTGATCAGGAAGTCACTGTTGACCCCCGGATGATACACGTCGTGACAGAGACAAGTGATCAGCGTCGCAATCTTCTCCGTTGGATGCAGCAATCTGTCACAAATAAAAATTAAGAGATGAACATGTGGATCAGTAAAAAGAGTCGAGGCAGGAGCAGGAGCAGGAGCAGGAGCAGGAAGGAAAGCATGGATCAGCAGCAGGAGCAGGGGCAGGGGCAGGGGCAGGGGCAGGGGCAGGGGCAGGGGCAGGGGCAGGGGCAGGGGCAGGGGCAGGGGCAGGGGCAGGGGCAGGGGCAGGATACCGAGATGCAGACGTTTCTGTCATGATTTTGAAGGAGGCGAGCGAGACCGACCAGGCGTGTCTCCAGTTGTGAAACGGGTTGACGTCAAAGTATCTGCGGACGAGAGTCACATGGAGGTGGGGGGATGCGAAAGAGCCCTCACGAGTTCTTGACGGCAAGCACGAATCTTGCAAGGTTGTGACGTGGGATCTGAGATGAAATAAGTGATTCCTCGTTGATCAACAGAGTGAGCTGGTCTTACGTTGAACCTTTCAACCAACCCCATGTCCGCGAACATGCGCATTGCGGACGTCAAAGTCTCCACGTCCTCGAGTTTGAAAGGATCTGACTCTCTCTTAGCAGCAGCCTCCCTCTTACCCGCTCCTCTCTGCCTCTTCTCTCGCTCCCCCTCCCAGCTCCACATCCCTTCACCCTCCCTTCCTCCCTCCCTCGACCTTCACCTCCTCACTCACCGATCTCCAACGTCATCCGCTCCGCCGGGAAATCTTGAGCTGACAAATCGTCCACATCCTACGTCGAAGACAGTCAGCTATCATGTCCTCTTCTCCTTGCCACCACTCTGCGTCCTCGGTCCCATCTCCTTCTCCTTCCTAGTTCTTGCACGCCTTACCCCCTTGCACTACCATAGAATCATTCGAGTCTCTTTCGCCCCTTTAGTAACTACCTTCTTCCCCTCAACCAACATCATTCCACTAAGCATACCCCTCCCACGTCCTGACTCAGCTTCATCTTACATCCTCCTCTATCTCCCCCCACGCTGCTTCACCAGATCTCGTCCTCGTATTCTCTTACCTCCAGCACCGAGGTGGTGTCCTCGATTCCACCCTTCAGCTCTTGAAGATTTTCCTTTGCCATCTACACCGCAAGCAGCAGCATTGTCAGGAAACGGAAGGGAGGGGAGCATAAGTAAGCGGAAAAGCGGAGAGAAAGATACAACAAGGGACGAACTTTGGTTCTAGGATGCCATTCCCCATGCAGCTTGATCCTAGCCTTGACTTCCTCTTCACTCCATCGCAACGCCTGACGATTTCGACCATTAGAGATGAAGTAGGAGAGAAGACAAAGAAAGTACCTCGACTCTGTCTCCACACATCTTGCAACAAACGCATATCATTGTGATTGCCTTGACAGTCTGCAGAATGCAACTTCACTACGACAGAGTTACAGCTTCGACAACAATAACCTGGTTGTGCAGGCTGCCGTAAATCGAGAAGAATGACTCATACGCTGACTTGAATCTAGAGATCAGAGTGACTCCAACATACATCAAAGATCTTCATGTAATGTCTCACTGAGCAAGCGATTCTTTCTTCAACACATCCGATGTCTTTCCATCGCAATCTATCCACGTCATGAGTTAAACTACGACAAGCTTTCCACAGGTATGATCCTGTAAATATCACCTGAAGACTGCAGATATCCTTTCTCAACAGCAATTGCTCTGCAAAACAAAATGACTCCTTTGACCTAACATTCATGGTGTCAGAAAGCGTCGCACAAGAAGGAAAGACTCACAAAACTCTTGGACCCTTGGATATGACGCAAATCATTGTTTCGAGATGACTTCCAAATGGCAGACATGTGAAAGAATGTCTTTTCGGCTTCCTCGAATGCTATCTTCGTTGACCACCTCTCGCATCCTCCCAATCTACCAACCGACGCAAGGTTCAAGGATTTCCAGTACAGGGCACTACACAGGATCTCGTTGATGTCGTTGAACTCAGAAGCCATATGATTGGAGATCATGTCTTCACACAGAGCAACAGCTTGATCGGCGTAGAAAGAAGCTCTCTCCATCACGTCGATGGTGTAAGATGGCATGCAGGACCCCCACTTGTTGAGAAGTTCACTCAGAAGGATGAAACCTATCAGCTTCTCGCTCTGGCTGTTGGTATCTCCCACTACTTTCTCGATGATCACTTGTGCTTCATCGAACCTGCATGAGATCAGCTCTTGACATCGATGCGCATCGACGTCACCTTCCGGAGAACTGAAGTTCTCGCACGGCCTGCAAGCATGAAATGCTGACGTTGGTGAAGAGGTTGTTGCGATTCGAAAGGTCCAGAAACTCTGATTGAGACAACCCTCCCTCCCTGTCTAGTACAGCGATGGACTTGCTTTTCTCCTTCATCCTGATTAAAAAATTGTTCAGTTATGCTTGACGATATACATTGACGCAGCCAAAAGTTGGCTCCTTGGGATATTGCACGTCACGTTGTACAGACCTGACCTAAACCCTCACTGATTGGCTCATGAGACCATTCTTGTATATCTCGCGTGTATACTGCTTCCTCTGAACATCAGAATCCTAAAGGCCGATGCTACTTCTCCCTAACTTTTTTCATTCTGGTGCGGCTCCTGACTCCATCACGTCCTTCCTTCCCATGCCCAGCCATTCGTCAACTCGTTGTGAAACATCTACCCCAACATGAGATCATTCAATACCGCTACCACAGATTTCATGATAGATTAGCGTTTAGCGTTCTGATGCCTCCTCCATCACTACCACTTCCTCAACCTGCTAACCGCTACACTTCTCCCTCTTCCTCCCTTCGTCGCTCTCGCCCTCTACCTCATCCCTAGTATATATGTCCTGGTGTGATCCTGCTTCTTCTTCCTCCTCCTCTCTCCTCCTTCCAATCCTCCTCCTCCTACCCTTCTACCCTTATACCCTTGTCCGCTCCTCCTCTACATCGTCTGCCCCTCCACTTTCCTCATTTCTGACTACCCCCTGTACTGTTCCCAACCCTTTTATCACCCCACCCCCAGTTACACCGCACGATAGTCAAGGGAGGGGAGCTTCAGATACAGGCAAAATGTCTCTAATACCCAACTGGGGTGGGTGGTGTCAGCAGCGCGGCTACCGCAGCACTGCCCGGGCCCCCCGGCAGACGCCCCGGCCGGGCCCCCCGGCCCGGGCCCTCAGGCCCTGAGTCCCGCGGCCCCGCGCCGCGCCCGGCGGCCGCCCGGCCCGCGCCAGGACCGTCCGTCCGACTCGATTTGCAACTTGACCGGGCCGGCAACCGGCCGCCGCCCGGCCGCCCGCCGGCCGGGCCCGCGCGCGCGCGCCCCGACCGTTCAAAGTGACTCAGAGCCCGCCTACTCAGCCGGTGCGGCAACTTGGTGACTCAGTTCATGACTGTGATGTACCGCGGCCGATCGGGCGGTCACTAGTAGTGATGCCTGCCAACTTTCAAGTCGAGTCACTCACACATTGAAGCCTAACCGTAACTGCCAGTAAGTTGCTGTCAAGTGACGCACTGCCAGGCGGCTGTCACTGAGTGTTTGCTAGACTTGTACCGTATGCCGTGATAGTGGGCCGCTAAGCAATGCAGATCATCGGATGGCATATCGACCTGAGCTGCTACCGTTGAAGATAGCTTTTGCTTGACTCGGACCGTACCGTAGTACGGTCTGAGAGTTCAATGCACACTGGCGAAACGGAGGGCCCGGATTGAGGAGCACATGAGAGATAGACTGTATGCTAGGATGTGAAACCCAAGCATCCAGACATGAGAGGACCTTAGCAAGACGGCTAGGAAGGCCTCCTCTTGGTCTGACGTACGACATTGTCACCTCGCAACACGTCACGTTGAAGGGTCGTCTTGGTTTACAGGAGAGTTTTGTTAACTCGGCGCTCAGCTATCTGATTGGCACGGCTGGCATGTGAGCCATCGTCCTCCCGAGTTCCTGAAGTAGTACATCGGACGTCAGAAAGTAGTCACACAAACAAGAGAATGTCCGCAGAGTTCCAAGTCAAGATACGATGAGACTGTGTCAAGTTCACAGTTATGCTGAGTGTGCAATAACCATTCAAGTGTTGTCCATTCTGAAGAAGATTTTCATGCAGGGCTGTTAGATGTGCAGCACAGAGATAAGGGAATATGCCACGAGCGGGTACAATGAGAGAGAGGATAAGATAAGAGAGAAAGAAAGAGAGAGAAGCATGCCCGCCGGCTTTTGAAGACCAAAAGATGAAATTTGAACCGTAAAGAACTTGTGACCAGAGCAATCAGGTCATGCAGGCTCATGGAGAGATGATGTCATTGTTGCGGCAACTTGGCTTTGTTTTATTGAAGTTGAAAACATCACCTAGGCCGCTACACATTCCCATGTCCACTTTGCAGCAGTTCTAGCCCACATATCACCGTAATGGTGTACATCATCCAAGATGACACCTTGACTCAGTGATGGAGAGTCCCATTCCAAGTACAACGCCGTTTGGAGCGATACTGTGACTTGTTTGCCGGGTATGATTCCAAATGTGTGCCGGGTATGATTCCATTAAATGTGACATTCTCCCTAAGACAGTTGAAGAGCATTCTAGAAAATTCAATCAATCGGTGCACGGCTCAGCTATTGTTTCTTACTATTCAGCAAGGAGAGTGCATCAAACAGATGTGGTCGTGTGGATCGACGAAGAATACAGATAAACTCGAAGTTCTGTCTGAAGAATGACCCTTTGCAAGCACTGATGGATCGAGAGCAAGTTCTTGATGCTGTATCATTGAGAAGTAAAATGACAGTCATTTGCCTATGCCATACTATTCGTATTCATCGGGTTGAAAAATGCACGTCTTGGTTGCATTCCATGAATCATCTGTCCTCCCGCATTCAAACTGAGAAACACAGTACTTGTCAACTCATGGTCATTGTTTTCAGAGTTTGAAATCCCAGCAAGTTTGGGAAGGACATGGCAGATAGAAGCGTCCAAGAGAGTTGAGGGTCGTCAGAGAAGGTCTGACGAGAGTTGGAGCTTCATGAACAGGGAAGGATAGGGATGCGCAAGTGTGAAGGGGGGAGATGGGGGAGGGAGACAAAACCTCTACCCCCTACCCCTGTCGCGTTCGTTTGGTTCGAACTAGGAAATGGCTTTCAAGCCTTCAAAACACAATTCTTGTAAGTACTCCTGTACTGTACGTGAATGTACGTACAATACATTTTACTCAAGGTCAGTTAAGTTAAAAATCAGTAGGAGGTAACAATCAGGAGATCCCTCGTGCGGTCACGGATGATCACCAGCATATCCGTCTGATTTTTTTTTTTCACCGGCTCGGTCCGGTGAGTAGCCTAGTACTAAGCGAATCGACGCTTTCCTGCATCGTTTCAGCAACTCCCCCGCAGGATCCTTCCGCCGACAACCGCGCCGTCATTCAACCATGCAATCAGCGTGCGACTGGAGCATCGACTCGGACCTTCCGTGCATCAGCATGGCCGTCAACTTTACGCCTGGCGACATCTTCCATGACGAGTTCTGGCATGAACGAAATGTGGAGCTCCAAGCAAATCGGCTGATCCACTTTCCCTGCGAAGACGAATACGAAACTGAGGCGAGCAGCAGTCGTCCGGAGCCCACACGAATGCCGGAGGCTGGAGAACGAGCAGCAACAGGGCTGAATAAGCAGCCAGCAAGAAAGAAAGAAGCAGCGCAGAAGCGCATGCCGAAGACATGGAGCCAAGAGGAGCATGAGAGATTCCTCGAAGGTTTGCGACTCCATGTTCCCCATCAATCTCTCCTCTGCCACACTGACGGCACTCTACGGGTTGGCCTCGGCTTAGGGGTTGCAGAGAAGATTTCCCGGGTGGTGCAGACTAGAACTCCGAAGCAAGTACGGTCCCATGCTCAGAAGCACTTCGAGAAGCAGAGTCGCATGATTGTCAGGGACGCTTGCAGAAAGAAATGGTGAGGTGTCGAAACAGCTCTTCAGAACAAACTCATTCACCAGAATTTTTCCTGTCATAAACCTTCTAGCCTAGAAATACCCATCCCCTCCTTTGACACCTGTGACATAAGTGCTCATGTTTCCAGGAATGTTCGCGTGACACTCGATATTTAATGCCCTGGTTTCTCGAAATAAACAAGTAGACAAATTGGCATAACATCCAAGAAACGGCAGAAATTACTGTAACCCTATCTCATGCCGTACCATCATCGAAGGCAGCAGATGATGGTGTCTAGCACAGCATATTCGTTCAATGTTTTGACAGGATCACGAAGCATTTTGTAACGGTCCTCCGCCGGACTCCGGGACGCAATGGTACAGCACAGGGTGCTGTATCTATTAGTATTAGAGCAAAGCATACAGCACTCGTTTTGTTCTTCTTTCACATTGAGCTGACATCACAAATCAACCTCGCTCGCTGCCGATCTCCCGCCAGGAGACGTAGCAAAGTTGTCATATTTCCTTGATCCTGAGGTGAAAGCGCCACTGCTTCAACTGCCATGGTTACGCGAACCTTTGAAGAGGGCAATCCAGTAGAGCTCGAGGTCCTCGAACGGGACAGCCGCTGATGGGCTGATGTTCTCTGATCCTGCACGCCGGCCCTGAGCCGCCAGCCTGGGCCCGGGCCAGCCACCGTCACGTACACCCGTGGCACCCATGACGGCATCATGACCGTACAGTACGTCATGACCAGAGTTGGATATGCTGCCACGAGTCGTGTACCCGGCCTGCTGGCAGCCGGGCCGCCATGTAGGATGGAGGGCTGAGATCCATCCGCCGCCACAGTCTGGCAACCGTGTCATGCCCAACAGTACAGTACGGTCCGATCTTCGGAACTTCCGAAGTTCCATCCGAATGAGTCCGACGACGGTCCGGCGTCACTAGTAGTAGCCTTTAGCCTGTCCGATCGGCGTTGCCGCCACTGACCGTCTGGCCGCGCCCGTGAACACACTGGGACAACCGTGCCCGGCAAGTTGATCGGACTCGATGATCGGACCGTGACCGTCGGCGGAAACTCGCCGGCAAGCCGGGCTGCCGGACAAACTTGAGGCCCGGACCGAGACACTGCACCGTGCGTGATCGGACTCTCACAAGCAGGGCCTGAGATTGACAGTGGAGTCTCCGACGGTCCGTACGTCCGATAGACGGCAATGCTGATTGGATAAGCTCACCTCAGATTCAATTAACATGGAAGGGAAAGGACAGCGAATCTATGATCCTGGTCTGGTTTCGGCAAATTTGGTGGAATTTCAACTTTTTCTTCAACATCATCTGTCACATTTGAAAGTAACAAACATAATGCCTGAAATGATGCCCGATGTTTGGTGCATGTGCTGGTTTCGCAATAGATGGCATCAATGTTGGGGGACAGGAGCAGGAGCAGGGATGTCAAGAAGAGAGGAGATGCACAGGATGCACAAGCAAGAGTGAGGGACGAGGAGACAGAAGACAGCAAGGAAGGGAGGGAGAGATAAATAGGAGCAAGACAACGATGTTTGGATGCTGATTTGTTTTCGTTCTTGCAGTATGGTCGGGTAAAGGAATCGGCGCACAATGATATCTGACAGACGTAGCTTCATCTTGATCGCCTTCCTAGTCGCAAACTTCTCGAGGCCCCAGACAATCTCGTGCGTTGTCGCATCCCACCATGTCAAGCCCGCTGCCTACAGTTCCCGGCCTCCCCCCCTTCTTTTGCGACTGTCTGGGGGCGAGGTTGAGCCGTCTGAGAGCAAGCATGAGGACGGGAGCAAGGCCTCCCTCGCTTCCTCCTCTGCTTACAACTCCACGGAGTCCAGCCAGGTCAACGAGGCCGGAGTTGGGTTGGGGATCGCGAGGACAAAGGACGGACATTGCATCGTGGCAAAGATCCTGGAAGGGTCGTCAGCTGCTGAAAGCGGAGAAGTGGAGATAAAGGTTGCTCGTAGCTTGTGTGTGTTTTGCTACTTCCAGCGCTGATGAATGCATGCAGGACAGGATCATTGAGGTCGACGGAACGACTGTCAAGGGGCTGAGCCCTGCGGAGGTCGGCAAGCTACTCAAGGGTAAGGAAGGGAGCGAGGTAGAGATGATAGTTGAGGTGAACGACATGTGGGATGATCGATCTTGAACTGAGAATGCAGTCACAGAAACGAAGTGGAGCTGTGCAATGCGTCGCTCTTGTTCGTCGTGGTGTGAAGCAGTCCTTGCAAGTGAGAACGAGGAGATGGAGATGGAGATGGAGATTCAGATTCAGATGGCTCACGTCTGCCTTGCAGATCCAGCAGAGCCGTGTAGAAGATGTTTGCAATGAGAAGAAACATGTCGTTCAGACGAAGAGAGATGCTGTAATGCTTTGTTCTGTTACGAAAGCGGAGCAAGATGTGATGTCTGGTGTCCTGCAGAAGACTTTGGGAATGGGTCTCTCTCGCAACGACAAGAATCAATGTCTAGTCAGTAAGATTCTCACAGGTACAATTATCAACTGATGTGTATGATGACGTGGAATATTTGTTGAATTCCTCTCTCTCACCAAAATGGCAGGAGGTCGAGTGGAGCAGAGCGGGGGTTTGAAAGTTGGAGATATCATTGTTTCAATCAACGGGGTGAAAGGTAAGTGAAGTGCAAAGAATGATTGCAAAGATGAATCAGCTGGTGATGGAGAAGAGAGGAAAGGAAGAAGGGAGGTTGTAGATTGAGGGGGAGGGCGAGAGCGAAAGACAGGCAGGATTAGGAAAGAACGAGGTGAAAAAAACGAGAGGGAGGCAGCGAGGGATTAGTGAAGTTTGACAGCAAATTTGACCCAGTGGATGGGATGACGTTGAAGACTGTGAGCTCAGTTCTTCGTGAAATCGATTCGAACGAAATAAGTCTGGTAACTGAATAGATCTTGTCTTCAATTTCAAAGTTTCAGTATGAATGATGATATTTTCAAAAGGTTTTGAACCGGAATGGAAAGTTTTTCAAGGTCACGATTCCATCAACTCAGCTCTCGGGTCAAAATGCAAGAATGCAGAAACAGGAAATGCGTAAGAAGAAGAGATGAGGACGATGATGATGATCTGATGTTGTTGTTGTTGTTGATCTGATCACGATGAGATGACCATGATGATGACGACGATTATGATAGTGATGAAATGATTGTAGAAGTTTGATGAAATGAAGAAGTCACTGAATTGCAATCAGATACTCCATCATCAACTCGCTTGCGCGCGCCCCCTTCGACGCAACCGACAACAAGGTCCTGACGATGTGGAGGCAGGGTTGAGGGAGGAGAGGATGGAATAGGCAGGGAGGAGAGGAGAATGACGGGAAGAGGAGGAAGGAGAAGGGGACATGAGTGGAGGGGAGAAGGAATGACTGCAGACTTGATCTGATAACATGCAGGCCTCCAACTCAGCCAGAGCAACCTCGCTCTTCCTCGTCTTCTCTGCTCAATGTGACATGTGACATGGTCTGACACGTCTTATTCTGATGGTCTACCAGCCTCTCGTCAAGTTTCTCTTTAGCTCCAAGAAAGAGGTCGTTGGTGTTGGCTTGCAAGCTCAGAAGAATGTCCATGGAGACTTCATGGTAGACCCTCTCCCTCTCCCTCGCCCTCGCCCTCGCCCTCGCCCTCGCCCTCGCACTCTCCCTCTCCCTCTCCCTCTCCCTCTCCCTCTCCCTCTCCCTCTCCCTCTCCTTCTCCCTTTCCATCCCTCAATGCCATCTTCTTGAGCACCTTCATATTTGCTTTGTTCATCACCCTCATGTTACAACCAGGTCACATCCATAGAGGAGGGTTCGCCGGCAGCGAGCTCTGGGAGGATTGCTCTAGGTGAGGCTGACGGAGGACAGAATGAGAATGAGAGGTGTTGAATGATGTTACAGGCGACGTTATTGCAAAAGTCGACGGCCATGTGGTCAAACATCTTCAATGGGAGTCGCTGGCCAACGTATAACCATCGTCTTCTAATTCCTACTGCCCTCCCTTACCCTCTTCCTCTTCCTCTTCCTCTTCCTCTTCCTCTTCCTCTTCCTCTTCCTCTCCCCTTCTTTCCATTCAATCTTTACCTCAATCTCTTCCGTCTCATCTTCTACCCTCCTCGCTGTTCCCTCCCCCCCTCCTGCTCTTTCCCTGCCACCTCTTCTCTTTCTCTTCTTCCTTCTCATCTCCGTCTCTGTCCCTCATCTCCCTCTTCCTCCTTCATCCTCTCCTCTCCCTCTCTCTCCCCCCTCATCTTCTTTTTCAGCTTCTTTCCGGCGCCCCGGGATCTTCGCTGTCCATCACCTTCTGCAGGTGATGTTGTGCATTGACATCTCCGGAGCTCAACGGCCTGCAGGTGGACCCCTGCGGACGGTGCGAACGAGGGGGGTTGGAGGACATTTGAAGTCAACCTTCGCCGTCAGAAGACACGTAGCCCGATGAAGGATGTGCGTTTTGTCTCTCAAGGGTTTGGACAGAGCGAGCATGTCAAGCTACCATGATACCGAAGAATGCTCAAGTCTATGTGGACGAGGTGATGGTTCTCCATGCCACACACGCGTACAAGATTGGACTCGCTCCCCTCCTCCCCAACAGATGTTGCTCGATCCTCTCTTGTTGCTATTCCTGTCTTGACCGGTGCCCACTACTTCCAACCCTTTCCCTGTCATTTGCTCTAATCTCTCTCTCCTCTTCCTCCTTGTTCGCTTTTGCTCTCATTCTTTGCTCTCTTTCATCTATTCTTTCTGTCTTCCTCCTCATCTTCTCCTTCAGGGGCACCTCCAGCAGCTGGTTGACATGGGATTCCCTGAGGAGACGGCAAGAAAAGCGCTGATGGCAACGCACAACGACGTAAGAATTGCTCTCTCCACTCTCCTCCTCCCCTCAACTCCCTCCTCTTTCATCCCCCTTTTCACTGCCTCCTCTTTCATCCGTCTTCTCTACTCCTTCCTCTCTCTTCTCTCCTGCTCCTCATCCCACTCGCTGTCGTGACAAGGTATGATCAGATTGAGTCTGCTGTCACATGGATTGAGGTGAATGGGAACAGTGCCAACAAGTTCCACGAGTACAAAGAAGTGACTTCACCTCTCCCACGTTCATCGTTTGTTGACGCCGCTTGCAGATCTCGATGCTGACAACGGCAGAGGCTGCAGCGATAGAAGAGGAAGGAGGACGAGTGCAGCTGTTGGGCAAGGGAACCAACCCTGTGGAGCAGCTTATGTCTCTCGGTTTCTCCCGCCCTGAGGTGAAGAGATGCGAGGAGGAAGAGGAAGGAGATGGAGAGAGAAGAGTAAAGGAGCAGGAGGAGAACGATAGAGGAGGAGGAGAGGATGAGAAAGACTCAAAAAGGATGATAAGAATGGGAGAGAGGAGGAAGTAGAGGAGGGTAGGGAAAGGACATGGAGGGAAAGAAGGAGGGGGGAGAGGAGGGGGGAGAGGAGGGGGGGGAGGAATGGTTGGCTTACAACCTCTTGTCCTGATGGGGTTCTTTCAGGTCGAGAAGGCCTTGAGGAAGACGCAGGGCAGGGTGATGATGGCGGCTGACCGGCTCTTGGAGAAGCAGAGCCTCATGGAGAGGAGGAAGGCGGAGAGCGAGAAGAAAGAAAAGGTGCAGGCGAAGCAGGTGACATGAAGTTGCTCTGGTCCCAGCTGAGTCAGTCAGCAGGGAGGTTTCTTCGCCTCGCTCCTCGGGTTCGGGTCGAAAGAAACCATCGCATGACCCCGGGGTAACTTGAGCTCAGCCGCCAGCTGACTCGGCGAGGCCTCCAGACCGTCGGACCCGTCGGTCGGACGCGGCCGGCCTAGAGAGGTTCAACGATCAGACTCTGATCATCGCCGCCATCATCGAGTCACCGCGGGCGGCCCGGCGGGGTCACGTTGCACAACGGCTCTTAGCGGCAGCGGCGTGGTGGCCCCGGGGCCGGGCGCGGAGTCACTGGCCACCTGGCAGTGGCGGCATAGTATGGCATGATAGGCTGAGCGGCCCGGGGTACCGTACTACGGACACGGCTCGGATGCCGCAGCACTGGCAGCCGGGCGGGCAGCCCGCTGACCAAGTTGCGTTGCCGGCCGAACGGCGCGCCAGGCGGGCAGCCGGGCGGCCTCAGGCTACGTGATCGGACGGTCGGCCGGGCGCCGGTGGGCCCGGCACGGCCCGATCATCGGATCCGATTTGAGTGCCGCTCAGTGTGCCACGGTGCGGCGGCCCGGCAGTGATGTCGTTCGATTTGAATCAAAAAAAATCTACTCTACATCTACAGAATCGCACTGATTCAGATAGAACCCGACCCCCTTCTCTTGTACCCCACCCCCTCTACACATTCTTCCTCGTTTTCAATGGACCCGTACACTTATCACCCTCACCCTCTCTGATTGGGCAGTACTTACAATCATGCTACCATTAGGGAGGGACACTACCCCTTATACCTCCATAACCCCTAGCTTACCACCCACCTATCCCTTTTCATTCACCACCACTATAAAAATAGGACCCCCTACCCCCACTACCTCCGCCGGTCTAGTCCCCCGTTCAAGACCGCCATGCCCGCAGCAGAGACAGAGCGAAGGAGCGACATTCAGGGAGAGCATGGAGCCGATAGAGTTGGCACAAGCTGCTAGGATGATTGCTATCTTCACTCTCAGCTTGCTGCACAAGATCTCCCACTACCTGCAGGCAGCTAACCCAACTATCGCATGCAGCTAACAATTCCATAGCGATGAAATCGCAGACGTCTAGTGAGACCATCAAGTCTGGGACGCTTGTCCTAGCTTGATACTGCTCTGTTAGACATTGTAGGAAGATTCTGCGCTCGCGTATCATGCAAGTACTCAGATCGTGAAGCCATGTCACGGTGCCATGCAAACGCATCAGCTCTACAAACTAGACAGAAGAAAGGAAATCATGTGGCCGAGTGGTATGCTGCAACTGTTGCAGTAATCTCAGGAGTGTGTGACAGCATTAGACTTGGGACATCCAGTGATCTTAGTCTCGGTGGATAGCTAGTTTGCTCATTGCCATCTAGCCGCAGGCTTGTTTCTTGCGCTCGAGCCAACAGGATTTGCCCCGCGGTTTGTTTCATCATTCTTCGATCCATGCTTCACTCGTGTCTGCTTTCATGATAAAACTCGCTAGACAAGCAGTTTCATCACGCTTGAGATTGATTTCCTTAACCATGACCTGCTTGACAAGACCGAGAACACTAGAGGAGGATCGATTTTGATGTTTGATTGTCCTGATATTGTGTTCAGCAGCCTTTCATCCTTGTCTTGAAGTTCTCAAGCAAAACTTGAAAGTTAAAGAAACAAAGTGAGCGAGACTGAAGCTCTTGACCTCAACTGACGTGCACGCACCGGCAGGGATGATATCACCGAAATGCATGATCTACTGCCGACTCCTTCTCGCTGGCATTGGAACCATTCTTCTCATCGTGGGTGTCTCTCTGCAATTCGCTGCTGCTGGAAATCTCTACGGAATCCCGTAAGTGTGAGAAGCAAGAGCAGGCTCTGAACGCAGCCTTGTTTGTCTCTGACAGTTGCTTCCTGGCTGCTGATTGCTGTTTTTGACATGTGATGTTGATGACAGGTTGTCGAATATGTGTGAAGCTTACTCGGGGTCGAAGGAACTTTCTGATGCGCAGGTCCTGTGTGGATGTTTTGCTGCTCATTCATGTTGACTGACATTGTTGTCAGGCCTTCACCCAACTCATCAATACGGTACGCTGGTTTCCGCGCTTTTGTCATGTATTGTGTGCGAATCATTGAGGCTAGAACGTGGTCTGTTGGTCAACTTTTGTCGTCGTTGAGATAGTCATTCACATCGATTGAAAGATTGTTTCGTCTGAAGTTTGTCAGACATGCAAAACAGTCTCATAGGGTGCACAGGTTCTTCAACAGAGACAAGCATGCATTTCGTTGCCCAAGTGAGTATGAAGATTTCTTTGATGTTTCTGTTGTCATACTTGTGTGAAGTTTGAACATGTGCTGACTTTCTTCTCCTCTCTATCCTTCCTCTTCCTCGCTTCTTCTTTGTTTCTCCCTCTCCTTCGTGCTTCAGCGCAACGGAAATCATCGCTTGCTGTGAAGCCCACAGCCCCAACATCCCCGGAACCACATGGTACCTTTCAGGGTAAGAGGAGGCGAAGATATGGCGCAGAGGTTATCTGATTCAATGCAGGATATGCGCGAAGCCATGGCTGACAGGGCTGTCACAGTACAACGTATGCATGCGCATAGCTCCCTATCTCCTCCTCTTCGTTCTCCGTTTTCTGCCTGCCATCCTCCCCTCTATCCGTTGTCTTTCCTTTTTTCACCTGCGGTTCGAAGGAATCCATGCCTCCGGCAGATAAGATAGAGCTCTTCACTGCAGTACGTCACTGTCGAGCTCCTCGGACCTTTCCTTTGATGTTCGATCCAGGTCCTCGGCGACTTCATTGGGGTTGCCGGTCCTGGGGATTACCTGATGGCCAACGCAGAGTTCTGGTGCAAGGTGATAAGAAATGAGCCTGATATAATGTCTCTTAAGCTCTCCGACAGAATTGTCCCAACGATTACCGAAAGAATTGTCCGTTCGATCCTCCTCCTGCCAACCCCAACGAGGTATGAGGGAAAATGAACACAGTTGATTTGTGTCCAAGATTTCTTTCATATCAGCTCAATGTTGCGTTGAACTTAGTTTGTCTGGGTTCGTCTGGTTTTGAGTTTTCACTCGACAAAGTTGTGCTGCTCTTGTTGTCTTGTGGAATTCCTGTCGTCACTTCTTTGATTCTTTTGTTTGCAGCCTGGATTTCAAAACAACAACCTTTGCGATTGCCCAGGAGGCTCTCTTTCCCAACCCGGACAGGTAAAATTCAATCTGACCCGGTTCAGATTTCAATTTTCCTGTGAACGTCTGGAAAGTGTAAAATTGCCTTGTATCCTGTTTCCGTAATGTCTTGCGAAACCAACCTTTGACTTGAAATAATGATGCTCTGTCAATCCACTTCACCTTGAAGAGGAACATCTGAACAATGCCTGACTGCTGCGACAGGCTTTCTGGTCTATGGTTCAAGACTATGACTTGTCATCGACGTGATGAGTTTGCGATCGCGCAAGTAGAAACATAACACGTCATGTTGTGCAGCTACATCTTATGCTCGGACAAAGCCCGAGTCTACCGATCTTGGATCACTGCGTTGTTCCCCTCCTGGCCGAAGGTGAGGCGACAGCACGCTGTAAGAATTTGTTGATTCGTTCGAGCAGGATAACTTGGATCATGCTGAGCAACAATTCCTTGCAAAGTGCTGGCAGGTGAGTGAACTTCCTTCTCACTCAGCTATTAGGATTCTTGCCCACAGACTTGATAGATTGCATTCCCCCCCCCCCTCCGCAATCTCCTCCTCCCCCTCCCCCTCCCTCTCTTCCTCTCTCCCAGTCTCTAACCTATCGTTCAGGGAAAGTCTCCTCTGGGCTATATCCTCTCTGTCGGCCCAGGTAGAATTGAGGGAGGAAGGGAGGGAGGAGGAACAAAAAGATAACGATGTGGAGATGGAGGAGTGGGATATGATAACATTCGCAGTTCTTTCTATCTTTGCCTGCATCTTTTCTGTCGTTTCCATTTTCAAGTAAGCCTCCTCCTCCTCCTCCTCCTCCTCCTCCTCCTCCTCCTCCTCCTCCTCCTCCTCCTCCTCCTCACAATCTCATCTCAGGTACTTTGCCAACTCACCGATGTCGACTCTCGGCTTCAACTTTGCCATGCTCGGTGAGCGGCTCATCGTTCAGCGCTTCCATCCCCCCTCCTGTTCCTCCGCTCCTCTCTTCGTCCCTCCCTTGGGACAGAACCCTTGTCCTTCATCTGCTGACTGTCATGTGCAGCCGTTTCCTTGACTCTGGTCTCTTTCTGGCCTCTTTCCTTCACTGGTGCTGCAGGTACAAATCCGTTCTCGTTCTTTTTCCTCCTCTCATCCTTCCCTTCTCCCTCCTTCCCTCCTCCCTCCTCCTCCCTGCTTCCTCCTTATTCCCCACTCCTCGCTACTCTTCCTACCGCAACAGCTCCTGCTACTGCTGCTGCCCCTTGCTTCCCCCTCCTCCTCTTCACGATCTTCATCCCCTAGTCGCCTCCCATCTCTCAGACATGCTCATGCTTGCTCAGCTCTCGTCTCTCGCTACTACTTCTGCTACGGACTCTCCGATCCCGTCGTCCTCAACGCCACCTCCAGCGCGCGATCGAGAGTGAGTTCACTCCTATCCCTCCCTCCTCCCTGACACTCTTCCCCTAATCTGCCCAACTCAAATGCTTCTCCCTGTGCTTGTTCCCGTCCTCCCTTCTCTCCTCGCCCTCCTCTCCCTCTCCATCATTTGGTTTCTCTGATCTGCTCACTTGCTCCAGGCCGCGCCAACCTTCTTCAACGGAAACCCGTGCTTTGATCTGAACTCTGAGGGACAGGTATTCCCTGCTCGACCCTGCCTCCTCCTATCTCTCCGTCCTCCTCCTCCTCCCCTCCCCCTTGCCTTCTCCTAGATCATCATCATCGCCACCGCCTCCTCCCCCTCGCTTCCTGGCTTGAGGCTCTTCCTGACGGCAAGTCTCCAGCACAAGCCGAACCCATTCATCGGCCAGGTATGCCTTCCCCTCCCCTCCTCGCTCCCCTCACCTCTTCTCCTGTAGCTCGGCATCTACAACGCGGGCTACGTCAGCGGAGGGGTCCTAGTAGTGATCGCTTTGATCTGCATGCTTGCAGTCGTGTCCAAGGTCCCTCCCTCCCTCCTGATCTCCACCTATCCCCTTTCGTCAATCTCCTCTCCCCTGCCCCGCCTTCCCCATCCATATCTTACCTCCTTGCATCTTCCCGGCCCCTTGCTCCGCCTCGCCCTGTTCCTTTCTCTATCATCCTCTTCTTTCAACCCCCCTCCCCCCCTCCTCTCCCTCCTCCTGACTCGTGAGGCAGAACGCGGAGGTTGTACTAGAGGAGAAGCTTTCGACGGAGCAGAACGGGGAGCAAGCAGCAGAACCAAAGAGCTGAGAAGAGAAGGACAAGACATGTTGCACGAATGTCACATGTTCGCAACACAATCTTCATCGTTGAAACTCCTTTGCAGTCACAAAATGCCTTGCTATCATAAAATTGTCGATATCCCCTTGAAACCTGACTTTCTGGCTCTTTCCTTGTCATTTACACGTTCTCATTTCACAGCATGCAGCACTTCTCCTGTCCGGTCAAATTCCTTCACAATCTCAACAACGAGTTGTCCAACAGCCGCCTACTCGTCATCAACATCAACCAGCAAGACAACTGCCTTACTTGAGCCTGGGTCGTCGCAGCTCCTATATGATGAGTACAAACAACACTGGGATGTGCGGCAAGCTTACTTGAAAAGTTTGCCTGTGAACGATCTCAACAAAGACATCTGATCAAACTTGGTGTCACTTCGGCAAGGGCAGGTTCATGTTGAAACACGTCAAGACCAGCCTGCAATTCTCTCAGCCAATCAACAACATAAGACATTCAGCATCACTCGAATGTTCTTCTTGTCCATAGCGCTCAGAAGAGCATCTTCGTCGATGACATTCCCCCTGCACCAAGGAGTTTGAGATGGAACATTCTCCTCTTCGCTTTCGTGCATCGATCCAACATCATTCTTGCATGTCCGGAACAACCAAAAAACGATTTTGAAAACAAAGATCCAACTTGCCTTGCAACGTTCACAAAGATTGCATCTTCTTGCATGGATTCAAAGAAACTTTGGTCCAACAGAGGCTTTTCCGTCGCTCCGACATGTACAGAAATCACATCTGCTTCCCTTGCAACTTGCAGCACGTCTTCGCAAACCTGAACAACAACCCTCAATCTCCTCATCGTAACATCTCACAAACATCCCACCAGGACATCCTCCTCCACATGCTTCAACGGGCTTCTGTTCCAGACCACCAACGACATCCCAAATCCGCGTGCTCTTGCTGCGACTTCCCTTCCTATCCTCCCGAACCCAATGATCCCCATCTTCCTCCCCTTCAGCCCTCTGCTCCTCCCTGAGTGCTTTCCCTTCCTCCACTTCCCCTCCTTCAACTCCCCCGTCTGCTCCACAATCCCCCGGTCACACGCGAGGATCAGCCCCCAAGTCAGCTCAGCCACCTGCATCTCCTTCAACCCTATCGCATTGCACCTCCCTCCTCCTCCTCCTCCTCCTCCGTTCCCCCAGCAATCCCCGCTGTCAGTCTATACTAGACACATCTATCCTCCCTCCCCTCCCTCCCCTCCCTCCCTCCT